TTCCCCCATCAGTAATAAGCTTATATATTTCTGTATGCAAAAATGAAATTTCCTTTCTCTTCTTTTTTCTCTGTCACTTGAAAAACTTACTGTGCCTATTAAATTCCTATATTCCAAGCTACTGGGTTGTTGTAAGTTTTTCAGGCAGTATGGCCATGTTCCAGAAGCATTCTCTCCTGACGTTTCGCCTGCATCTATGGCAGGCATCCTCAGAGGTTGTAAGGATGCCTGCTACAGATGCAGGCGAAACGTCGGGAAAGAATGCTTCAGGAACATGGCCATACAGCCCAAAAAACTTATAACAACCCAGTGATTCCGGTCATGAAAGCCTTTGACAAAACATTTCAAGCTACTGTTACAGATAAAGAAATACTGATAGGTTGGGGGAAAGGGATAATTTATAGCAGGGGTCCTCAAACTTTTTAAACAGAGGGCCAGGTCCCAGTCCCTCAAACTATTGGAGGGCTGGATTATAATTTGAAAAAGCATAAATTATACTGCACATATCTTATTTGTAGTGCAAAAAACACTTATAAACAATACAATAATTAAAATGAAGAACAATTTAAACAAATATAAACTTATTAGTATTTCAATGGGAAGTGTGGCCCTACCTTTGGCTGATGAGATGGAATTGTTGTTGTGTGCTTTCAAATCGATTCAGTCTTAGGTTGACCCTGAGTGAGGGCCGGGTAAATGACCTTGGAGGGCCGTATCTGGCCTTCGAGCCTTAGTTTGAGGACCCCTGATTTATAGTATAATGCCTGGATTGTTTCCCAGATTTTATCAATTTAGTGTCATCATAACCTTTTTGAAAGATGTTTTCAGAGGTAATTTCAAATTTTAAGAGTGCCTATTTTTCTTATTCCTCTCCATACGAAATACATATCTCAGCTTGGATGTTAGCAAGCAAGGCAACTGTATGGATTGAGCCTGGGTTTGCCAAAAGGGTTACCTGGACATTTAGGGTTCTGCCACAGGTTTGTAGGGATCCCATTACAAATTACGGAAAACTTGGTTTAACTGTAAATATCAGCTGTTTATGCTGAATTTCCCTGACACCTGAACATAAATTCAAAATTCCTCCAGTTGTAGATTAAGCTTGTAGTTTTTCAAATATACTCGCTTATCCAACATAAACGGGCTGGCAGAATGTTGCATAAACAAAAACGTTGGATAACTAAAGAGAAGCCTATTTAAACGTAAAAATTACGTTATGATTTCACAAATTAATCACCAAAACATCATGTTTTACAACAAATTGACAGAAAAAGCAGTTCAATACATGGTAACATTATGTAGCATTTACTGTAGTTATGAATTTAGCACCAAAACATCGCAATGTATTGAAACAGCTGTGGATCCGGGCAGGAGGCAACTGCATTGGATAATACAGAATGTCGGATGAGTGAAGGTTGGAGAAGCGAGGCTCTACTGTAATAAGAAAAAGTATTTGTATGGTTTTGTTTATTTATTTATTTATTTATTTATTTATTTATTTATTTATTTATTATCTACTGCTTTTCTCACCCCTTGGGGGACTCAAAGTGGTGCACAACATAATAATGGCAACAATTCAATGTCTCACATTCATATAATAGAAATACATTACAAATCTAAAACAATAACATACAACTATAAATCAAAATCATTAAAAACTATACAAGCCATCAGACGTCACCAGAAAACATTAAGACATGTAGACATTGCATCAGTCCTATGATTTTCTTTAGCTGCTTGCCTATTGCTATCATTCATCAAATGCTTGCTTGCACAGCCAAGTTTTGAGCTGCTTCCTGAATGCCAGGAGGAAAGGGGCCAATCTGATATTGCTCGGGCGAGAGTTCAACAGTTGTGGGGCCACCGCCGAGAAGGCCCCATCTCACATCCCCACCAGTTGTGCCTTGCAAAGGTGGCAGGACTGAGAGCAGGACCTCCTCAGCCAATCTTGACTCTCTAACTGGCTCATAAAGGTAGATGAGTTCGGACAGGTAAGCAGGACCAGAACCATTTAGGGCTTTATAGGCTAAACCAGCACTTTGAATTGTGCTCGATAGCAGACTGGCAGCCAGCAGAGCTGATGCAACAGGGGGGTTGTATGCTCCCTGTACGCCACTCCAGTAAGGAACCTGGCTGCTGCCCATTGGACTCCTTGAAGCTTCCGAACAGTCTTCACAGGCAACCCCATGTAGAGTGCATTGCAGTAGTCTATTCGAGATCTAACAAGAGCGTGGACACCTTAGCCAAGTCTGATTTCCCAAGTCTGACTTTGTGGGTGGCAGGGAGAGCTCTGTGTATTTTGTCTAGTGTTTTATATATTGGGTTGTTTGTACATTTGTTTTTGGTTGAATAAAAATTAATTTTAAAAAATTCCTCCAGGACCAAAAGGGAAATAGGTTTGGAAAGGATGGGACAGGTCAAAGTGAGATGTGTGGCATACTTGTGAAGTCCAATTTAGACTTGTGTTTTTTTCTTACGGTTCTTTTGACACTCCTATTCCTGGCCAGCTCAGCTGAAATCCTAAGCATATTTAAACAGGGAATATAGTCCCACTGGATAAAGTGGGTCTTAGTCTTACTTTTGAATAAACATACTGTTTAGGGAGATCCCTCAAGAAAACAGTCCCAGGCCCTGCCAAGCATCACCAAAAAAAAAAAAAGGTGCTCAACTCCTCCATATGGTTTCTGCGATGACAGCTGCTACCCCTAAGCCACTCTGGGTTTGAAGCTATATATAGCACAATCCCTTCACACCACCTGTGCCCTTCACTCACAGACTAAAACCATCTTTCGGCCATAAATTTCTTCCTTATTTTTGCACAGATGGAGACGATGGCCGGAGGCTATGAAATTCACATTCATCCATAGCCACCATCTGGTTGCAACCTTAGGCTCAAGGAGTCCCCTTTTCAGATAAAGAGGCATTAAACAATTGCTTACATGTTGCAAGCAAAACCATTCTTGAAAATTTTTGAGTCACATGAAATCAAGACTATAGGTTCAGAGTCGAGAGTAGCAAGTGCAGGTTTCACTCATTAATAAGTGAGCAAAATAGTTTCAAACTGCATTATACGGCTGTGTAAGGTAAAGGTTTCCCCCCTGACATTAAGTCCAGTTGTGTCCGACTCTGGGGGTTGGTAGTCATCTCAATTTCTAAGTGTAGACACCTCCAAGGTATTCATTATTTCAGTTACTGAAATGCTGAAACAGGCAATTGTCTTTAAAACAAATGAACAAGTGCTGTACAAAATATCGATTTATTTAGTAACCTACGGTTGTGAGAGTTGGACCATAAGGAAGACTAAGTGAAGGAAGATAGATGCTTTTGAACTGTGGTGCTGGAGGAAAATTCTGAGTGTCTTGGACTGCGAGTTCATATATGTATTTTAATGGTCTTCTATTTCATCTATGTATTTTAATTGTGTTGTGCCCCACCTTGAGCGATGAAGAGATAATAATAATTATAATCATTACTATTCATATGTTATAGTGAATCTACACCACAGAGAAAGCAGAATTGTGCATTTCTTCCTTGCTTGAAGTTTCCATAGGTTCAGCCCACCATATGTAGATATGTCCATGGGCTCCTGTTTGGACTCTTACCTGTCTTTCCACATTTCGTAGAGAGTCTCACTCATATAAAATTCCTGGATCTATGCACGGATTAATGAAAAGCATGTAGGTCAGGAGCAGAGGTGGTGCATTAAGTGTCATGTGTAAAAAATATCCAAGGATTAGAAATGTGTGTTATAATTAGGCAGAAATCCTTTCCATTCTTTGAAGTAAAGTTGAGTAGCCTCTTTGAGGAGGTTGGTGAGAAGGAAGATGGATAAATAATTCTAATTATAGTATTATAATTGGTAATGTTGTCCCTCCCTATGGCTTTAGTATTTAAACGAAAGTGAGGAGGGAGTAATGCTGCCCAATCTTCCTATGCCTTTACCTATTATTATTATTATTATTATTATTATTATTAATAATAATATCTGGAGAGACAAGTATTGCAGATAAAATATAACACAGTCCTACACTGAAAATTGGGCATCCTGGTGATGCAGCGGGTTGAACTGCTGAGGTGCTGAACTTGCTGACTGATAGGTCAGCAATTTGAATCCGGGGAGCGAGGTGAGCTCCCACTGTTAGCCCCAGCTTCTGCCAACCTTGTTCTTGTTTTTGTTGTTCATTCGTTCAGTCGTCTCCGACTCTTCGTGACCTCATGGACCAGCCCATGCCAGAGCTCCCTATCGGCCGTCACCACCCCCAGCTCCTTCAAGGTCAGTCCAGTCACTTCAAGGATGCCATCCATCTAATCTTGCCCTTGGTCAGCCCCTCTTCCTTTTTCCTTCCACTTTCCCCAGCATAATTGTCTTCTCTAGGCTTTCCTGTCTCCTCATGATGTGGCCAAAGTACTTCATCTTTGCCTCTACTTTTCTTCCCTCCAATGAGCAGTCAGGCTTTATTTCTTGAAGTATGGACTGGTTGGTCTTCTCGCTGTCCAAAGCACTCTCAGCACTTTCCTCCAACACCAAAGTTCAAAAGCATCTATCTTCCTTCGCTCAGCTTTCCCTAAGGTCCAACTCTCACATCCGTAGGTTACTACAGGGAATACCATGGCTTTGACTAGGCGCATCTTTGTTGCCAGTGTGATGTCTCTACTCTTTACTATTTTATCAAGATTGGACATTGCTCTCCTCCCAAGAAGTAAGCCAACCTAGCAGTTCAAAAACATGCAAATATGAGTAGAATAATAGGTACCTCTCTGGTGGGAAGGTAATGGCGCTTCATGCAGTCATGCTGGCCACATGACCTTGGAGGTGTCTATGGACAATGCTGGCTCTTCAGCTTAGAAATGGAGATGAGCACCACCCCCTAGAGTCAGACATGACTAGACTTAATGTCAAGGGGAAACCTTTACCTTATCAAATCCACTCTGACAAAAAATGCCAATACAAACATTATTTAAAAGATTGTCAAGATTATGTTTGGGTTTCTCTTGTTCAGGGTGGAAGCTTTGCGTGATGCAGCATCTTCAATGGAGCAAGAGAAAGAAAGCCTTCTGGAAATGATCCATAATGTACAAAACAGCCAGGATATGAGGAGCATCAGTGAAGGTAAGAGCTCAGGGATTTGTAAACTTCTCATCAGGTGTTGTGGGGTAAATACAAAGATCATAATGTTCCACCTTATTTTCTTCGCTGACCCTTCTGTTTAAGACAGTAGAAATGTAATAAATAGTAGAAATATAATATAATATAAGCATGGTTGGTGACCACACACCAAAAGAGGTTGGATCGTTTTAGAAGTGAAATAGCTTGACATGATACTGATGTTGGAGGACAGCTAATGTTGGCTAATTCAAAATTTCTTGTAAGGGTCACAACAAACCCAATTATATGTGGACTACAGGGTATATTATGCGAGTAATATCATTAGTCTGACTTTTCCCCTAATTGGGTATAATGTGGTCTTGTATAATCTTTTATACACCATGGGCCAATGGTGGCACAGCGAGTTAAACCGCTGAGCTGCTGAACTTGCTGACTAAAAGGTCGGCGGTTCAAATCTGGGGAGCGGAGTTTGCTCCCGTTGTTAGGCCCACCTTCTGCCAACCTAGCAGTTTGAAAACATGCAAATGTGAGATCAATAGGTACTACTTCAGTTGGAAGGTAACTGCTCTATGCAATCATGCTGGCCACATGACCTTGGAGGTGTCCATGGACAACGCCAGCTCTTCAGCTTAGAAATGGAGATGAGCACCACCCTCCAGAGTCACACACGACTACACTTAATGTCAAGTGGAAACCTTTACCTTTTACTATAAGCTTTTAAGCCAAACTGTTTCATTTGCCAAATACAGGAGAAAGAGAAGAACTCAGTCTGACAGCGAAACGCCTGATGGGCAGAACCCTCACAGTTGAAGTTTCTGTCGAAACCATCCGCAACCCACAGCAACAGGAATCCCTGTTTCATGCCACGCAGATGATTGATGACATTGTTGGTAAACTTGTGGATGATTTGGAAGACTCCAAGAGCCGGCTGATGTCCCTTTATGGCGCATGTTCATCTGAAGTGCCCCCTGGACCCGTGAATCAAAGATTCCAGTCGGTTGTCATCGGATGTGCTATAGAAGATCAGAAGAAAATCAAAAGGCGGCTAGAGACCTTGCTTAGGAATATAGAAAACTCTGAAAAATCCATCATGTTACTGGAGCATCCAAAGGCAACAGCAAAGCAGCTCTGCAACAACGGAGAAGAATAAAAACTATGGAATGCTACTGAGAAAACAAATGCTTCTATTAATTATGCAAAAACAAAGCAAAAAAAAATAGTTTGATGCAAACGTTAAACTTATAGGGCTTGTTAGTGCAGACCCAATAACGGTGACCGTTAAAGCTGTTCTTGGTCCCTTGGGGCACTAAGAGGAATAGCTAGAAGAACGATGGGAAAGTATCCCTGAAGGCAAAAAATGTCCCTATTTCTTCAACATATCAGATCACTAGTTCCAAGGTGTGCTTATCAGTGGTTCTCAACCTGTGCCCCCCCCCCCCCCAGGTGTTTTGGCTACAACTCCCAGAAATCCCAGCCAGTTTACCAGCTGTTAGGATTTCTGGGAGTTGAAGGCCAAAGCATCTGGGGACCCGCAGGTTGAGAACCACTGGCTTATATGAAGCCCATCCTGTGGCAGTTGTAGGATCCATAGAACTGTATAGAAATTCAGCAGTATTATTCTATGGCTTTTGCTCCCTGCAACAGGGTTACTCATTTGTTCTACTCAGTATAGGGAACATTAAGGAAATTAATAAGTAGCTACAGTTCAGTTTCAGCATTAATAGCAAATGTAGCTGAATGTAATTGAATTTTTCTTAAGTTGTATGCTGTTTGCTCCCATATTATTGGCTATTTTAATATTTGTAAAATCATCTGTTACTGCCAAACGATGGAAACTCATTGGGAATTCTTTGGGTACCTTTCAGTTCTCTAAAAAACGTCCTCGCTTGTTATGTACAAGAAACGCACCTTGCACATGTCTCCCTGACACCCTTTGGGGAGTGAGCCTGATTTTGCGAGACCATGGGATGGGATTACTGTAATGAATGTGTAGGGGAAATAGAGCTGATTTTACATGCTGCAGATTTATAAATAAAAGTTTACACTCTATACTGCTTGTTCTTCAAAAACCCTCTTTAATATTATATTCACACTAGTGTATATACTCAGCATTGTCTAGGTGTTGGAGGAGCCACTGGCCACCTGCTTTCTCCCGTCTCCAGCTCTGAGAAGGGCTACCTCAGAGTCTTCATGGCAACACTCTGGCAGGCTGTCTTTGGGATGACTCTTTCCTTTCTCCCTTTCCCCACACACACCCTATCCCTCTCTTCTTTCTTTCCTTTCTCTTCCTTCTTTCCTATTCCCATTTTCCTTCCTCCTCCCATACCCTTTTCCTTCCCTTTCTCTTCCTTCCCTTCTTTCTTTCATACACATTACAATTTCAGCAGCCAATCTCGTTTCACTGTATTTCTTTCCCAGTCATATAACATAGGGCCACTTCACCTAGCCAAGGGCAATCTGCTTTGTTCCTTTTCTTTCCCTCTGTTTGAGTTCAAACTCTACAATTATTTTAGGTTGGGCAATGAAGGGTATGTGTGCCAAGTTTGTTTCAGATCCATCCCGCCATGTAGGAACATTTGTAGTACAAATGGACAAAGCAGTGTACATGCAAACATACATACTTTGACTTTCTTTGTGACTATATATATATATATATATATATCTTGTGTCAAAAGCGACTTAAATTGCAAGTTGCTTCTGGTGTAAGAGAATTGGCTGTCAGCAAGGATGTTGTTCAAGGGACACCCAAATGTTTGTTGTTTTACCATCCTGTGGGAGGTTTCTCTCATGTCCTCGCATGGGAAGCTGGAGCTGACAGACAGGAGCTCACCCTGCTCCCCGGACTTGAACTGCTAATCTTTTGGTCAGCAGTCCTGCCAGCACAAGGGTTTAACCCATTGCACCACCAGGGGCTCCAAAATGCTTACTATAACCTTTACAATAAAACATATTGTAAAATATATGGACTATCACTGCAAGTCTACCAGTCTTTTTGCTATGAATATGGAAATGATAGTATTCTTTTAAAACAAATGTTACTTGTCTTTAAGTGGGTAGCACATTGGGAACTTGTCTTTTGTACACTTTAATCCTTGAAAACCTAGAACACAAGATTGGTTGCAAGCCAACCATAGTTTAAATGAATTTTCCAACCATAGTTGGCATTTTGAATCAATATATGTCAAGGAAGGAGCAGTTGAGCGGAATTATTTCCTCTGTTGCTTGCAGATTTTGGAGTGATTAATTTGACAAAACTATAAATTCACATTGCATCTAGGCTCTTAAAGAAGATTAAAAGGTATCTACCTGCGATTGAGTCCAAACAATGCAGCTTTAATACGCCCAGTGTTTCTTATTCAGTTAATATGCCATTTAACAGGCTAACAAGTTGTTAGGAACCAATAAAGAAAGTACAACACACCTATTGGGCAGTTTCCAGTTTGAATACAAATGAGTAAGATGAATGAATAATGTATGCTAATTTCTCCTAACATAAGTGTACAAATGACAATCTTGGAATGGTCTATTTTAAAAGGGTGGGGAGAGATTCTGCACTAAGTAGAAATTAAATTACAAAGCAGCAAGCGAAAAAAAGATATTAATTATTTCAGTTACAGCACAGAATGCTGAAACAGGCAATCGTCTTTAAAACAAATGAACAAGTGCTGTACAAAATATCTATTTACTTAGTAACCTACGGTTGTGAGAACTGGACCATAAGGAAGGCCAAGCGAAGGAAGATAGACGCTCTTGAATTGTGGTGCTGGAGGAAAATTCTGAGTGCCTTGGACTGTGAGAAGATCCAACCAGTCCATAGTTCAGGAAATAAAGCCCGACTGCTCATTGGAGGGAAGGATAGTAGAGGCCAAGATTAAGTACTTTGGCCCCATCATGAGAAGGCAAGAAAGCTAAGAGAAGACACTCTAAAATACTGTTAGGGGTCTGTATTGTAACTATAACGATATAACCAATTCTTCGTTACTTTTTGTTAAGTAATTGTGTGTGTGTGTGTGTGTGTGGGGGGGGGGAGTCCAACTCCCTTTATTCTGCTAGGCAGGAAAAGCACAGTCAAATCATCCCCAACAGATGCCCATCCAGCTTTTGAAATAACAACAACAATAATAGGACACTAGGTAAGCTTTGGAGTTACTGCCTCTCAACTTTGCCTACCTCACAGGGTTGATTCAACTCCCAACAATCCCCTTTTATCTTGAAATCCCTTTAGAGAATGAACATGGATTTTCCCCCACCAAAACTTTCAGGGAGGAAGAGGAGGCACAAGGCAGTAAGCACAATTCTGGGAAATGAAGTGGTGGAAAGGCAAGGACCCATGTGGCAGAAAATTCAAAAGGCCCGCCTTAAACTACATTTCCTAGAATTCCCCTTGTTTCCCACGTTAAAGGGCTTGGGTTTTCCCTCTCCAAGTAGGAGAAGTTACTTTGAAAACGCAGGTGTTGCACTGCCTCCAGCTCAGCAGAACCAGAGAATGCAAAAGGTCCTGCCCTAAACTACATTTTCCAGAAGCCTGCTCGCTTCCTGCATTAAAGCCTCAATGTGAGTGTGATCTCTGCCTCTCTCTCTGGGCCAGCCATGTGCAAAGGGGCTTCTTCCTTGCCCGTTGATCCAGTCAGGCATCCCTCCCTCACCACCCTCTTTAGGGAAAAAGCAGAGCTTCTTTCTCCACTCCAACCTCACCATCCTCCTCGGGGGACTTTTGGGGGAACCAAACCCAGCTCTTTGGGGAGGGGGGGGGGGAGAAGCAGCGCCTGCAAAGGAGACCTGGAGCCATTAATGAGACTTACATAACTCATCTGAAAGTCGTAGGTCAGTGTTTTGAATCTTAATTTTTTTGCATGGCTGCCCCTCCCCTTTCTTAATATTCAAATTAGATCTGAAAAATGAATTATAAACGAAGTTTTGCACAACCCTAGTAGCTACAATGCTAGTGAAAGGCTGAGAAGAGTTTTGAAAGATGATGCAACAAATACCTGGAGCAGCATGTACTTGGAAACATAAATGAGAATCAGTGACACTATATTTTAATAGCCAATTCTCATTAGTTGAAAATCATGAGAAGTGCCTGGGGCAGATATATGGCATTATATCCAAGCTGTAAATTATTAGAGTGGTTCCTTGGCATCCACTGGGGTTTGGTACCAGAAACTTCTGTGGATACCAAAATCTGTGGATGGCTAAATCCCAAGATACACAGTGTGGTAATAAAATTATGTCCCTTATGTAAAATGGTAAAAATCAAGCTTTGCTTTTTGCAATTTTTTTTTAGAAGGGGAGGTTGGGGAGTATTTCAAGCCATGGTATGGAAGGCTATGTAACCTGCATGTTAGTATGATGGATTATTCTGTCAGCCACGGTACATCTCGGTACAGCCACGGTACAGCCAAATCCCCTTAAGAGGGACATGTGGGGGCTTTCTAGCCTGGACTTTTAGAAAAGAAAGATGGTTTGACATCAATAGCTGCCTATTTGGAGTGGGATCAGTTCCACCTTTCTCCTTCCTTTCATCAGAACCATCAAAGCTGACAGTATTGATCATAGCCCAGAGCTATCACTAGTAGCTCTGCAGTAGAGAAGTAATGCTGAATTAAAATTTACAAAGGTGGATACTAGTTCTTTAACAAAATCATGCCCCCTGGTGGCTCAGCAGGTTAAACTGCTGAACACTGAACTTGCTGACTGAAAGGTTGGCGATTCGAATCTAGGGAGCGGGGTGAGCTCCTGCTGTTAGCCCCAGCTTCTGCAGTTCGAAAACATGCAAATGTTAGTAGATCAGTAGGTAACGCTTTGGCGGGAAGGTGATGATGCTCCATGCAGTCAAGCTGACTACATGACCTTTGAGGTGTCTACAGACAAAGCCGGCTCTTAGGCTTAGAAATGGAGATGAGCACCACCGCCCGAGTCGGAAACTACTAGACTTAATGTCAGGGGAAACTTTTACTTTCACTAGTAACAGTTTAAAAAAAGTTTTCAAGAATCTTTCAAGACATGAAGTGGTTCCGAAATAGTTTTAGGCATGCCTCATGTGCACTAGAAGCCTTTTTTTCCATTTTATAAAACCACAGTAATACAAGTTACAAACATCTTTTAGATTTGCATTGTTGTGTACAAAAGGAAATGAGACAAAAATTGAGACCCGAGTCCTTCTCGGCACAAGTACAAAACATGTAAGGCTAACAGTTTTAATGTTAAAAAATTCCATATAAAAATAATGTGCACACTGAGCCCTACAGACTGAAATCCAGGTCGTTTAACAGCAAGACAAATACAATTTGGACTCTTACAGGTGCAGCCACCCAGTGACCAGGTAAATTGGTTAAAAACATAGGACTTGGTCCAACACTTAAAAATGACAGAAGGATTCAATAGCTGCAATGGCCCCCTCATTGCCAGCAATGGGAATGGTTACAAAAGCAAATGGGATCCTACACCATTCCATATATACTGTATTTCTCTCATTCTAAGGCACACTTTCTCTCCACATAAACATTTCTTATAACAGGGTGTGTCTTAGAATTGCAGGTGATCTCTTTCTCTGTATATATGAGTAAAGCTTTTTTTCTGTTGGTGCTACTGAAATTAGTGTGCGTCTTATAATCATTGGCATCTAAGAATCGAAGAAATACAGTATAGTGGATTGCTGTGAGTTTTCCAGGCTGTATGGTTATGTTCCAGAAGCATTCTCTCCGGATGTTTCGCCCACACCTATGGCAGGCATCCTCAGAGGTTGAGGGGTCTGTTGGAAACTAGGCAAGTGGGGTTTATATATCTGTGGAATAATGTCCAGGGTAAGAGAAAGAACTCTTGTCTGCTTGAGACAAGTGTGAATGTTGCAACTGGCCACCTAAATTAGCATTTGATGACCGTGCAGCTTCAAAGCCTGGCTGGTTGCTGCCTGGGGGAATCCTTTATTGGGAGGTGATTAGCTGGTTCTGATTTATTCTTCTCTGGAATTCCCCTGCTTTTTGAGTGTTGCTCTTTATTTGCTGCCCTGATTTTAGAGGGTTTAAAAAAAAAATAATGGTTGTCAGATGTTTTCATTTTCATGGTTTCCTCGTTTCTGTTGAAATTCCCCCAGGCAGTAACCAGTCAGGTTTTGAAACTGCAAGTCCATCAAATGCTAACGCCTCAAGCAGAGAAAAGTTCTTTCTCCCACTCTGGACATTCCACAGATCTATAAACCTCACTTGCCTAGTTTCCAACAGACCCCTCAGCCTCTGTGATGTGGACAAAACATCAGAAGAGAATGCTTCTGGAACATGGCCAAACAGCCCGGAAAACTCACAGCAACCCAGTGATTCCAACCATGAAAGCCTTCAACAACACATTAAATACAGTCTATGTAATTATGTTTCTCATTCTGATGTTATGAGGCAGCTTGGGCCAAGACCTCACTGGGAAGAAAGCATAGATTTCAGGTTTATTAGAAACCTTCTCCAAAAATATAACCAGATATGGAAATATGGAGGGAAGCTGTACCTTAATGTACTCTTCATAAGAAGAGATCATTATCTAAAAGTAATTGTGCAGTTTAGCTGGTAGAGCTCCTCCAGATAATGTTATTTGCTCTTGAATGTAATGTGCTTCTAAAAGGGTTGGTATTTCAAAATTACCTAGAAATAGAGCAATTTGCTGCTGGCAGAACGTCATTACAGAAATACTGCTGAAATATTACACAGTGACATGTAAACAGAAGCTGTAATGTAGGCGCGTTGCATGCTTCAAAACAAAAACTAGAGTTACTGTTTTAACCCTGTAGCTCTGAAAAGTCTCAATACATTCAATATGGAAGTACGTCAAGGAGACAACAGCTTAATCCTATGCGTGTTTACTTTAAAAAAGGTCCCATAAACCTGGGAGCATGAGATTTCAAGGCTTACATTTAGGCAAAGTGAATAAAAGCAGGCACACCTTTAAAAGGACCAAAGAGGGGGCTTATTTCCCTAACTTAAGTTGCACAATATTATTACAGGATGCACGGAAGAAACTCCAAGAAAGGACTTTAATCTTTTGACAACTAGTTTCTTTAATATTTCACCACAGTTTATTTTTTCCCTTTAGAATGTATAAATATAGAAGCTACTATTGAATTTTAAGGACAAACTCCTGTTTTGCCTGGCTGTGCCATTTAGCACCTCCTTGCCTCGTTGAAATTTAGAATGGATATCTCGCACAAAACTAAGTAAATATCTAACTGTAGCAGCATAAAGTTAGTTTTTGGCACGGGGTAAAAATTTCAAAATTAAGGCGGACAGTGCAGGGAATGTCTGAATGTGGGCAGTAGTACCATTTCAGAAAGGCTATTTTAAAAGTTAATTTTTAAAAAATCTAAATTATTTTTAAGAGGCCACTTATCAGAATTTATCAGGCTTACAGCTGGGCCTGGTATCTGTTTTATTACACAAGCCAACAATTATTTTTTCATCAGATATAATTTTAGGTGATTCTTATAGTTTATTTTTTTGGCACTGAATTCAGATCTGTATTTATTTTTTCTCTATTGTGTAGTTTTTGCGATGAGGCTAATCAAATAATTAATGCATTTATGCACTGATATCAATAATGACGGCTTTTATGTTTTGTGCCATATCATGTTGTATAGGGCTATCACTAATACTGTATAATTAATGATATGCCTGCCTAAGTAAGTTGCCTATGACAACTTACTTACTCCAGCCAAGAGCAAGTCTAGATCAGTGTTTCTCAACCTTGGGGGGAGGGGTCGTCAGAGGGGTCGCCAAAGACCAACAGAAAATACAGTAGTTTCAGTTGGTCATGGGGATTCTGTGTGGGAAGTTTGGTCCAATTTTATCTTTGGTAAGGTTCAGAATGTTATTTGATTGTAGGTGAACTATAAATCCCAGAAATTACATCTCCCAAAGGATACTGAGTATCCTTAACCAAGTCTGGTCCAGATCTATCATTGTTTGAGTCCACAGTGCTCTCTGGATACTGGATATAGGTAAACCACAACTCCAAAACTCAAGGTCAAAACAGTAGTAACATTACAGTTATAAAGTAGCAACAGAAACAATTTTATGGTTGGGGGCACCACAACATGAGGAACTGTACTAAGGTGTAGCAGCATTAGGAAGGTTGAGAAACACTGGTCTAGATTATTGCATCCCTGTAGCGCAATATCCAACGACCAATAGGAACTCGATTGCATAATAGATTATTACTCATGAGTAAGCGGGTCTAGTTATGCATAACTAGCTGCAGACTAGATACTTTAACTTCAGTTTTGTCTTGGAGAATGCTCAAGTGGCTTTGTGAAAGCTTTCTTGGTAACCACAGGGCTTCTGCATACCATGGAAGAGTCCAGAATCTGCTTGACGCTTACCAGAAACTGGGTTGTAATATGCCATTGAAAATGCATTTCTTGCACTCCCACCTGGAATTCTTTCCTGATAATCTTGGCATGGGGAGTGATGAGCAGGGAGAACGCTTCCACCAAGACAGTCAGTTGATGGAGCGGCGCTACTAAGGTTCGTGGATTGCAAGCATGATTGAAGACTACTGCTGGATGTTGTACTAAGAAAATCAGGAAATTATATATGCCAGAAAATCATCTGCAAAACATTCCTGATCAAACACAGATAGCTTCAGCCTTACTGACTGACATTGGAACTTGTATGCACACTGCACTTGAACAATTTATATTTGATTATTCTGTCTAGATTATAATTAATTAATTAGATTCTATTGATATCAGTGCGTAAAAGCATTGATGAGGTATTGTGTTTTTAACTGTTTTAACTGTATTATGGAGGCCCCGGTGGTGCAGTGGGTTAAACCCCAGTGCCGGCAGGACTGAAGACCGACAGGTCGCAAGTTTGAATCTGAGGAGGGCATGGATGAGCTCCCTCTATCAGCTCCAGCTCCTCATGCGGGGACATGAGAGATGCCTCCTACAAGGATGGTAAAACATCAAAACACCTGGGTGTCCCCTGGGCAACATCCTTGCAGGCGGCCAATTCTTTCACACCAGAAGCAACTTGCAGTTTCTCAAGTTGCTCCTGACACGACAAAAAAATTGTATTTATTTGTTTTTATCTGTTTTAATATTTGAATTGAAATGAGGCATTAAATTTTGCTGAACTGTAAGGCAGTGAATTTTATTGAATTTTGCTCTGAGTCCCCCTCGGGGTGAGAGAGAGGGGGATAGAAATATAGTAAATAAATAAAATAAATAAATAGAGAAAAAATAAACACAGATCTGAATCCAGCACAAAAAACTCTATAAGAATGACCGAAAATTATATCTGATGAAAAATACTTGTTGGCTTGTGTTACACGAATATGAGGCGATATGTGCAGACATTACAGTAGTCTGCTGTAATGTACCATTCGTCATATTTTTAAAAACTGATGTGGTGGAAAAAAGACATATCTAAAATCAGCATAAAAACTGTGCTACTCTCATTTCTGATCATTACAAAAAGTTTTGATTTTGTTGGCTTGTGTTATTATTATTAGGGATGTATGACCACCTTTCTATGCTATATAAATATTGCACCATTAACATTGCCAGAATGTGCGCTGGGCAGTTTAAGAAATGGTTAATGGTTACAATAACTTGCTAATTAGATAACTAAGTAGAAAATATAATTTCATCTCAATGTATAATAGTGATATTTAAGCATGGTCAGCTCAATGTTAAAAAACCTACTGTACACTTTAAGACATCATACCTTTCAAGCTGAAAGTTGTCCTATGAAAAACAAAATTAAATGCGCGGGGCAATGGTCCTATTTCCATGCCGCCAGGAGTCCCATTATATACCAATAATAATGACAATTCATCTTTACAGCAGTACCCACTCTCTGTGTGGGATCCAACGTGTGCAACATCTGCTAAAGCACTGGTTTAAAAAGCCAGCTGTGTTCCTCACAGACTTCATCTGAACAGCTTCGCCAGACTGTCTTTTCGGCTCTTATGCAGCAGCGTTAGGGGATGCTGCAGTTGCTAAAAGGGCTCCGGTTTTTCTTGGTCCTTTGTTTGTTGGGCCTCAGGTTGATGACGTCGCCATTATTCAGCAAGTTGGAGTTCTGGCCAGAATGGCTTCCTCCTGCCGTGTTGAAGACACCTGTATAAAAAAAAACACAGGGAAAAGAAAGAGTTGCATGCAGACACGACAAACATGTTTGAGTGGCAGGCATAAAATGCTGAACTTTCAAGGTTGTTTTTTAAATTTAAATTACATGATAGAAAACTGGAGATGTGCCCCTATACCGTAAAAAAATCAAAAGTGAAAGATAGTATGAAATAATTTTTCTCTTTTTTATTTCCTTTTTCTTTTTTTTACACTTGCTAATCAAATTATGACTCGGCAAGTTAAGAATCTAAAGCCAATGTTGCAATTGGCCAGCTTGATTAGCATTTAATGGCCTTGCAGCTTCAAAGACTGGCTGGTTGCTGCCTTGAGGGAATCTTTTGTTGGGAGATGTTAGCTGGCCCTGATTGTTTCATGTCAGAAATTTCCCTGTTTTTTGACTGTTCCTCTTTATTTATTGTCCCATTTTAGAGTTTTAAACATGAATCAAGGAACGTGAAAGGCATTGCAGACTAATTCAATCTGAGAAGTCAGCCATAGCAGAGCACCTGATGAACCAACCTGGTCAGCACATCTGTACTCTCACATCTGAGGACACAGAAATGCTGGACCACTCTAACAACTACCATGTCAGGATAGACAGAGAAGCCATTGAAATCCACAAGCATGTGGACAATTTCAACAGAAAGGAGGAAACCATGAAAATGAACAAAATCTGGCTACCAGTATTAAAAAAATCCAAAATCAGGATAGTAAATAAATAGGACAATAAAATAAATAAACCAGGATAATAAACTCAAAAAACAGGGGAATTCCTGACATGAAACAATCAGGGCCAGCTAACACCTCCCAATAAAGGATCCCCAGTCAGCAACCAGCCAGACTTTGAAGCTACAAGGTCACTGAATGTTAATCAAGGTGGCTAATTGCAACATTCACACCTGCCTCAAGCAGACAAGAGTTCTTTCTCCTTCCCTGGACATTCTACAGATATATAAACCTCACTTGCCTAGTTTCCAACAGACCACTCAAACTCTGAGGCATGTCTCAGATGTGGACGAAACGTCAGGAGAGAGTGCTTCTGGAACATGGCCATACAGCCCTGAAAACTCACAGCAAGTCAATTCCCAATGTAAGAGTGAAACCCAAATGAATGGATATGGGCACTGATGTATACTCATCTCTGGGCGCCCCTGGACGCCCAAAGGAGAAGACACAAGCATACATTTTAAAAGAAAGTTTATTTCCTTTAACACCCCACTGGAGTCAAACTCACTATGACATATTTTAAGGAAAAAGTCTGTAGGATATAAAGGAAGAGTAAATGTATCTGTCGTAATAGAGAGGTTACAGAGCCCTTTCCATCAGGTGTCAGATCTTATTAAGCCTTTTCTATATTTTTAACAGCATATTTGGGTGACTCCTAGAAATTACTCTTTCCCCACTTTTGGCACTACCATGCATTTTCCATTTACAACATAGACGTATGTACAAATTTTAGGGGTGGTTGGCAATGCCTAGCCAACAGTATTAGTGCTATAAATAATATTTCAGCATAGCTGCTGTGGCCACAAATACAGGCAGTCCCCAAGTTACAAATAAGATTGGTTCTCTAGTGGAATTTGTTTGAAATTCTGATGTTTGAAACTCAGGGACTGCCTGAACCTAGTTGTGTATGTACACATCTTCAAGTTGTCTGTTGACTTTTGATTTTCATAGGGGCTTCTTAGGTAAGGAACATTTAGAGGTGATTTTGCCAGTTCCTTCCTTGAAACATGGCCTATGGACCTGTCATTCAACTAATGGTCTCCCATCCAAGTACTAACCAGAGCTGACCCTGATTAGCTTCCAACATCATATGGGATCTGGTGTCTCTAGAGCAAGTATGGGCAAACTTTGGCCCTCCAGGTGTTTTGGACTTCAACTCCTACAATTCCTAATTGCCAACCGTTGTTAGGGATTGTGGGAGTTGAACACTTGGAGGGCCAAAGTTTGCCCATGCCCGCTCTAGAGTCACTAGCCAATTATGCAAAAGGAAAATAGCATAGATTTCCTGTAATGATTATTTTCACCCTACTTTGAAGGAAATATGGTACGGACATAAAAGGCATCCACATAGTTAACAGTGTAGTACTTTTATCAGCAGGCAATATTTTATGATTGCATTTTATTTCTGCATACATACCAATTTTGTTACTACTTTTATGAACTACTTCTGGGTCTTCAATTATTCGCTGTTTGAGCTTCTGAAGGTACTTCTCAGCCAAATACCTAAAAACTGCAGCACACAAAAGCTACATTAAGACATTAATAAAAAAATACCTGCTAATTTCTACCCCCCAAGACTTAAAAGCACCGCTTTCTCAATTGCTACTAATTCCACCCTAATTTTAAAGGAAGCTAGGTAACACATATCAGAGCTGGCACCAACATTAGAAAACAGTGACTGGAATCCTTATAGTGATTTTCAAAGGCAGAAGTACAATTTATACCATTGCAACCAAATTCTTTTTTTTTTTTTTTCAGAGGCTGGAATGTTGTTCCTTCTTCGAAATGATCCAGTTCTCCCAATTAGCTTTTTCAGTGTGGCAGGCCTTTCCATGTTCTTTTCCTAGCCTCACCTGAAGATGCCAGGAATTGGCTCTGAATGCCACTATGGTACTCGCTGTGATGCCTGCACTTGTTGCCGTAATTATAGCTATTCATTTGCTAATTGTCTCTTTTGGAATTAAATTCAGTTTGAGAAGATTTATGAGCTGCAACAATATTCTTCCAAGAGAACATCTGTAGAGCCAGATAGAGAATCCTAGACCCACAAAGAGCTCCATATGAAAACTTCAGTCAGCCTTGGATGATACACACTTCCTTGACCCAAATTAGTGGGTTCTTGTTTGTTTGTTTTATGTAATTTGCTATGTAAACATATTTTGTTATCCATTTATATCTCTATGTCTTTGACTGTATATTGTATATTGTTGCACTACTGATTGCTTTTTGTGAGCCGCCCGGAGTCTCTTCAGGGAGATGGAGGTAGGCTACAAATAAAGTTGTTGTTGTTGTTATTATTATTATTATTATTATTGACCAATTTCAAACAAGCTTCAGAGCAGGAAATAGAGTTGAGACTGCTGTAGTTGCCTTAGTGGATGATCTCAATCCTGTCTCAACCCTGACAGGGGGAGTGTGTGCTTCTAGACCTCTCAGCAGCCTTCAATACCATTGACCATGGTATCCTTCTGGAAGGCCTGGAGGGGCTGGGCACTGGAGGCACTGTGATGCAGTGGTTCCAGTCATACCTCTCTGGCAGGTTCCAAATGGTGGTGCTTGGGGATAGTTGCTCCTCAGAAAAGAAGCTCTTATGTGGCATCCCACAAGGTACCATTCTATTCCCAATGCTCTTTAATATTTACACAAAACTGCTGGGAGAGATCATAGGCATGGGGCTGGACGTTATCTATATGTTGATGACACCCAAATATATTTCTCCATGCCTTTAAAAATAGCCTCAGCTAAGGGTAGTGTGTGTTCTCTAAAAAATTCTCAGAGGAGGTAATGGGCCAGATGAGGAAAAAATTGAAACTGAATCCAGATGAAATAAAGGTGCGTGCCATCAAGGGTCCTAATCCAGGGATGGAGATATGCCAACTAGTTCTGGACCGGGTTACATTCCCCCTGAAAGACTGTGTTCTCAATTTGGGAGTACTCCTGGATCTCTCTCTCCAAATATCAGCCCAGATAGATGCAACAGTCATAAGTGCTTACTATCAGCTTCAGCTGATATGCCAGCTGCACCCCTTCCTAGATTTGGAGGACCTGAAGATGATAGTGCATATGCTGGTAGCCTCAAGTTTGGACTTCTGCAATGTGCTTTACATTGGGATACCTTTGTATCAAGTTCAGAAATACGGCAGCCAGATTGGGTACGGGAACATCCAGGGGTGAGCATGTTACACCTATTCTAAAGTCACTCCACTGGCTGCCAATTAGTTTCCAGGCAAAGTATAAGATGTTGGTATTGTCCTTTAAAGCCCTACATTATTTGGATCCAGGATACCTACAGGATCGCCTTCTTCTGTACAATCCGCCCCAAACACTGAGGTCCTCTGGGGGGCATCTGTTCCGGCCTGCCAGAACCTGACTGGCAACCATCACCCGGAGGACCTTTTCATTGGTTGCCCCACGACTGTGGAACAACCTGCCAATAGCGCTCTGACTGCCAGATCAGCTGTCAGAATTTAAAACACATTTGAAGAAGACCTATCTCTTCCGGCAGGCCTACCCACCCAGTTTTAATCACGGATTTTAAACTTATGTTTTATGTCTGAATTTTAATACATATTTTGTAGAAACATGTTTTAATATGAGTATTCTATAGAATATTTTTAGATGATTGTGAGTTTTTAGCTATGTTGTAGCCTGCTTCAAGCCATGGGGAGAAGCGGGTAATACATACAATTATTATTATTATTATTGTTGTTATTATTATTATTATTATTATTGCTATTATTATTGCTATTATTTTAAAGTTAAGCTAGAGTTTTGGCAGGACCCCTGCCCAAACCCCTATGTTCACATGGATTGCACACAGACCCTAAACATAGAAAATCAAGCACAACTAGGTTTATTACTACGGAAAGAAACAAGACTGATGCCACTCCTCAAAAAATGCCTATTTTAGCAGATACAAAATGCCGATCAAAGTAAAAATTGTGAGCTGGATAAATCACAGCTCCAGATCAGTGGCTACTTACCTTCTGTTACATTTAAGTCTTCCTTTACAGATGTTCTATAGAATCTCAATTTCAGCTTTTTTGCTAGTGCCTCTGCTTCTTCACTGTTTGCCAAGGAAGGAAAACAAAAGTTTTGGGGATCAGTTATTTTCTAGTATGTAGAATTTAGACTGTTTTGGGCTACTCATCTTCACAAAAATAAACCAGACTACTGAATGTCAACTCTCTGTAAAGACAGTGGAAAGTTTGCTGTTGAGAAATGCAGTATATACTCGAATATAAGCCGACCCGAATATAAGCCAAGGTACCTAATTTTATCACAAAAATCTGGGAAACGTATTGACTCGAGTATAAGTCGAGGGTGGGAAATGTAGCAATTACTGGTAAAATTCAAAATAAAAATAGATACCAAAAATTTAACATTAAGGCATCAGTAGGTTAAATGTTTTTGAATATTTACATAAAAGTGTAATTTAAGAAAAGTCTGTCCAACTCTGATTAAACCATTATTCTAACTTTCTTCAAAGTAAATGTGCTTACATATCCTTCCAATAATAATAAAAGAGAAAAATAATAAATGTAATAATAATAATAATAATAATAATAATAATAATAATACATAGAGTAAAATAATAAATATCCTTGACTCGAGCATAAGCCGAGGGGGGCTTTTTCAGCCTAAAAAAGGGCTGAAAAAGTCGCCTATACTTGAGTATATACGGTATCTATTTGCCGCATGAAGTGCAGAGTGAGCTGAAGCTGATGGTGAATTGACAGTAGTAAAACACAAAACCATGGTAATGCTGTAATGAAAGTAAAGTATTATACAACCCCTATATCTGTGACTGATACATAGCATGGGCTAAGCATGGTAATGTGAAATTGTGGGTCATATTGAAATGAATGCTTTTAGGCGGAATATGCTATAGAATCACACAGGAGGTTCTAGAAAATGCCTAGAAGGAACGCCTTTCTAGCATTTCTAGCTCCTCCAATATGACTTCCAGTAGAAGCATACTACAGAATCGTGCTGGAGGACTTAGAAAATGCTTAGAGAACATATGTTTTCCAATGTGCACCAGCCCCATGGATACAGAGACCATACTGTACACATTAATCATGTAATTATGAATTGTTTTCAAGACACTCAGGGAAAGAACACTACTTTGTCTGTATACGATTTACCAGCGACTAGTAAACACTTGCAGGGCTAGTACCTACTTCTTTATGCACGAGTAATCTAGAAGGTCAATTTTATTTTGAACAAGGACGGTGGGAATGTCTCCAACTTCAGCTACGACTTTCTCCCTCCAGGTAGGGATTGCCTCAAAGGACTCTCTGTCTGTGGTTGAAAACACAAGTACACACGCCTGGGCTCCTGAAAGACAAAACCAAACATGCAACATTAATCAATGGAATGAACTGCATCAATTTAGCCAGCCTTTGGAATAGGCTATTTTCTCCAACTTCCTTCCTGGAGAGCTAGTATTTCTCTCTCCATGGTTTGCCCTGAACATAGGCTCAGGGTTAGAAACATGAGATCATTATTTTTAGAATATTTATCTGGAGCTTGTATCTGAATAAACACGCAAATGTTCATATTAATTGACTTATTTATTTACAGTATTTATATACCACCTTTCTCACCCTGGGAGACTTATGCCCTATTGATAATTATTACCAGGTTCTTAGATTCCCCAAAGTCAAGAAACCTGCAAAGTGCATTCATAGCTTAACTGAAAGTAGTGAAAGTATAAATGGTGCTGACAAAGGCTGCAGATTTGCTATTAATTTAAAAAATGGCAACAGCCTTGTACTTTCTTAGGCTCATGCCAATGAATAGTATCCAAAATTAGAATATCATTCAAAAGTTGCTCTTTTGCATTTAACACTTTCTAGTCTGAATGTATTTTTAACCATATGAGCATATGTATATACATAAAAGTGAAAATATGTACCATATACATTCGAGTATAAGCGACACAAATATAAGCTGAGGCACCTAATTTTAACACAAAAAATTGGGAAAACATATTGACTCAAGTATAAGCCAAGGGTGGAAAATGCAGCAGCTACTGGTAAATTTCAAAATAAAAATAGATACTAATAAAATGACATTAATTTAGGCATCGGTGCGTTAAATGTTTTTGAATATTTACATAAAACTGTGATCTAAGATAAGACTGCCCAACTCAGATTAAACCATTATTCTAACCTACTTCAATGTAAATGTGCTTATGTAGTCTTCCAATAATAATAGAGTAAAATAATAAATGTAATAAAAATAATAACTAAGTAAAATAATGGAAATGTAATAACTGTAATAATTGAGTAAATAATAAATGTATTAATAATACAGTAAAGTAACAACTATAATAACAATTGAGTAAAATAATTTAATAATAACAATAATAAATAAATATAAATTAAATAATAATAATAACAGAATAAAATAATGAATAACCTTGACTCGAGCGTAAACCAAGGGGGGCTTTTTCAGCCTAAAAAAGGGCCAAAAAACTCGACTTATACTCATGTATATATGGTATGTATGTATCTATGCATTTTTCAGGATGACTCCTAAATCCAGAGAGCACTGTGAACTCCACTGGTGATAGAGCTGGACCAAACATGGCACACAGACCCCCCCCCCCAATGACCAACAGAAAATACTGTTAAGTAAAAAGTCTTTCAGTCTTTACTCATAATTGAGGCCTCCCTGGGTCTTAGATTTCAGAATCAAAGCTGAATTTGTTTATAGTGCAGTTTAAAGCAACCCTTGTAATGAGTCTCTTATCAAGCCAAATACTTGAAGCTGAACAATGAAGAGCAGTGTCTGGTATTATAAAAACTCGCTACTTGTGACATCTAATCCTGTTGCTAACAGTGAATGAAAGGTAATTTTACACTGCAAGGTACCCTACCAGAGTTCTGAGTAGTCTCTATTGTACTATGAGAAGAAACTGTATGAACTTAGTGTAATCCAATATCTTACATACCTTAGCTGAAGTTCTTTGATAGCTGGCTTGTAAGAAATATTTGCAAAGTCACATTTCAAAAGACTGGTATGCCAGTATATTAATTTTATTTTGTTGGACTGTCTATTATTAAAATTATATAGGCTTTACCACATAGTTACAATCCATTATAAATCCAAGAAGGTTTTACAATGGCGTTAGGATAATTTAATGCCTTAAATAGGTAACATTTTGTAAGCCACCTTGAGTCCCCTTCAAGGTCGAAAAAGGCAGGGTAGAAATTTATTTATTTACAGTATTTATATACCGCCTTTCTCACCCCTGGGTATATAATTCTCACCCCTGGTATATAATTATTATATATAATTATTATATATAATTATTTATTTTATTTATAAATAAAATAAATAATTCACATTTGAGGGTAACTGGTTGTTCTTGAACTGGTTGTTCTTGAAGTTGCTGGTCGTGGATGATTCCGGAGATGAAGGACAGATGAAAGCTTCTCTTGCTCACTTTCTCTGGTAGAGGGGCCTCTAGGATGCCCAATGTCTAAGGTGATCAGGCCTGAGGTAGAGAGAGCAAGTACCTCCTATTGAGACCTGACATCTCGATTAAGGCAATGGAAACACCATACACAGTCAATGACCAGAGGTAGGCCAGTATAGCCAGATGAGTTCCCAGATTAGTTAGTTATTGGCTTGAAATGCCTTTGTCCAAGCCTAGATCTTGCTGGGATCAACTACAGACACGTCATGCTTCAAAGAATCCCTGGTGGTAATAACCCTAGACTAAATATGACTCTCTTTCCCCGCACAAAAGGGTGGGCAAACTTATTGATCCAAACCAGTTGTAAAACTAACAGAAAAATGACTATTCTCAAACTGTGGGTGAGGCAGGCTAACAAAAGGAGCTGGGACTTACACAGTTCCCTCACAATAACAAAAACAAACAAACAAACCAAAAACAAAAAAGTCTCCTCAGGAAGCCAGAAATAGTTCCTTACAAGAAAATCTTGCTTCTCTGGAGCAATCTGTTCAGACAGTTTGAATATGCCAGCAGTTCCACCATTAAAGGGGTGGGGGTGGGACACTGGCTTGCCAGCTTTCAATGTTGGCAGCACTCCCATCATGAAGACCATTTCAAATATTGTCATCCCAAAACAGACACATTAATTAGTGCCTGCACACAAAGGTTGTCATTTGCTAACTTGTTAGAACAATGAGCTCAGTTTCTTGAAGGGGTTACATGCCTAGCAACGCAGAGAGCTGCCAGAAACTCTTCAGAGGATTACTTTTAATCTATATCTTAACAAGATGTGGCTTCCAGATGGGAATAACTGCATATATACTGGTGTGGTGGATTCACCCAGAGGACTATAATTGAAATGACAGAAAAAGGGCACTTTAATATAGAAGACAATAAATTGGTGGGATTTTCATACGATAAATTAAAACCTTTTGGAAAAGTTTGGATATGATTTATAACACAGCCTAGAAGTATTTACACAACTAATGATTCTACCCACCTCTATAATATGCTTTAGTAATAGCATCAAATTCTTCTTGACCTGCTGTGTCCCACAACATCAGCCGTACATCTTCATCATTGACTCTAAAAAGAAATGAGCTATTAATAAATGGAAAGACAAAAGCATTCTTTCCCTGCATCAAAGATGGGGGATGTTGCTGGGTAGCATCTCTCACCAGCCACAGACAAAGCAGCCAATGATGAAAGATGATGGGAGCTATATAGTTCAACAACTGGGAAGCCACACATTCCTCAATCCAGCATTACCAAGTACTGTCAAACTACAACTCTCATCATCTGGTGGTTGCTGGCTGGGGAAAGACCGCATTAATGTATGTAATTTTAAAAAGAGGAGGGACTGTATTGAAGCAAAGTAGAGTACCATCCCATTCCTCTTCAGGAAGCACTAAATCACATTCAACTTATTTTCACTGAGTTTTTGTTGCTTCACACAATTTCTTAGAGAGGAAGTGAGGTAACACATTTTCCCCAGGGATCTCTAGCCACTTCAGCTCCATGCTCAGAGGTGCTGTTGAGGGATCCTCCACAACCCATGAGGCATGGGGCAGAGGGCTAGAGAAAGTAAGCCAGGACAGGCAAAAATCAGATACCGTAGTTTTGTTATTCAGCCAATGATTGCGCCTAATGGCAATGAAGAATTAGATCATGGGATTTCTGCCTAGCCTGCGAGCCAGCATGAGATTTTAAGTTCTGAAATTGAGCATTCTATGTCTCCTACAATTAGTGAAGGCAAAGGTCACATTCCATAGAGGGGCCCAGAGAAGTCTTTCTCTAGGAAAGCGAGTTCAGAGGATGAACTGCCAGGTGGAGAGGTTAATGAGCTAATAGGAGACTTAGTTTTCACAAACTCCGTGCTGCTTCACAGACTCGGTGAAGGTCACAGCACTGGGTAGAGGATAAGCCGTTATCAGTTTGCCAGGGTAAAAGGCATGATTTCATGGCTTTATTAGAGAGACCAAAGGGATTTTTCAGCAATCTGGTCAATATTGGAGTTTGAAGCAACATCTCTTGTTAATATAATAATAATAATAATAATAATAATAATAATAATAATAATGCTTTATTTATATACCGCTCCATCTCCCCGAGGGGACTTAGAGCGGTTCCCAAGTAATATCACAAAACATACAGAGTAAAAACAACATAACCATAAGATTAACAAACAAAATATAAACATAAAAATTGTTGCCATAACACACATATATTAAAAGTAATCCTGCCTGTTCAAGGCAATTAAAAATTTAAAAGGCCGGGCCAAGATTTGTGCAAGCCCAAAAATTCTAGGGGCCCGGGAATTAAGTGCAATGCTATGGCAGGCAACAATAATATTAGGTACGGGTCTGTGGCTGTTCATTCCAGGGCCGATTAGAGGAAAGAATCTGGGTAACTGGTAGGAAGAATAAGACTGTATTAGACAATGTGTGGGGCTGAATTAGAACTGGTCATTTTCAAAGGCTTGTTGAAACCACCAGGTCTTAAAGCACTTACGAAAGGAGGGGAGGGATGGGGCCTGTCTTATTTCCTTTGGAAGGGCGTTCCAGAGACGGGGGGCCACAGCTGAGAAGGCCCTCTCTCTCGTCCCCACCACCAACCACGCTTGAGACGGTAGTGGGATCGAGAGGAGCCCCCCCCCAGAAGATCTTAGAGCTCGCGCCGGTTCATAGAAGGAGATACGATCGTGGTGAAAGTCAAGCCTGCTAAGGGAATTCTAGTTTCTTGTTCCCAGTTGTTTATGTTCCATGCTTCCAAGTTTAAAAGACTGTTCCTGAATTTTGTGTATTGGATTTTATGCTGCTTTGTGCATCCTGATTCTTTTGCATTCCTTGTTTTTGATACAAATCTTTTACCTCGAATCTTGCGGACTATTTCATACATTTAGACTGAGATGTTTCTACTATTTTTGCTGAACTGCTTGTTATATATACTTCAACTAACTGCTTTGCTGATTTACATTGGACCTGAGTGTGGTGGTTAAGTACAAAGGTGCTTCCTGCTCTGGAATACAACACGTAGGCTGAGTGAGGTGAACTGAAGTGCTTCTCACAAAGACAAAATCTCAGTGGATGTAGTTAAACTGATTTAAAGCTATTGCTACATCACTTTCCAGCACAAGTTCCATAAAGATACTGAAAAAATTAAAAGGTTGTTGATTTGAACCCTGGTCACCTGGTCAAAATCTAACACTCTAACCATTGCATCATACTGGATTTTTGGGGTGGGGGGATGGGGTAGGGGTTAATCAGAAATTAAAGCACCCTATTTCCCTTTCACCTACCCTCACTTGATAATTTGATGTGAATACACTGTGGAAGACAATTAAATTGAATAAAACTTTGCATTCTAGATTTCTCTTTTCAGAATATGGATATTGTCTATATAAACAATTATTCCCCGTGATTCAAAGAATTCTTTACACTACTGGAGAAGCATTTGGTGTAAGCATTTTTGATTTTTTTTATTCAAATGGGTGAATTTGGCCCGGCTGTAGAAAGACTGTAGACAGCAATTAGCATATGAATGCCTCACTTCACCTCTAAGCAAAAAGAACAGTTTTTGTGCAGACACATTAGTTCAATGCTTTAAAAAGCATCAAACACACTACATTAAAAATATGTATATATATCGGCTTCAAAAGATGGCAAGGAGGGATTGTGTTCCCATCTGTTAGGTACATACTGCATTTCTCTTTCCAGGAAATCAACTCCAATGGTTTTCTTGTAGTCCTTTGTAAAAATTCCTTTGCAATATCTCTGGATCATACTTGATTTCCCAACAGCTCCATTTCCAACCACCACCACCTTGATGGCCACTTCCATATCTTCCTCCAACATCTTGGCAAGTCACAGAATGCTGTCGTTTCTTCAGAATTTCAGTTGATCTTCCTGAGATGAAACTGAAATGGAGGAAGAGGGAATTATTAGCACCAGTTTTGTGATTAAGGAGGCAGACATGCAAATCTATTGTTATTGAATATTATGATGCGATCTCTGCACAAAAATAAGACACTAAAACAGATAATCCTGCCAAAGATGTTGTGACTTATTTTTCTAGAGACACGACACATGGCTATGGAGATATCCCATGAAGGAGCGAATTCTATGTATCCTTAGCTGGATGGGAGGCTCATCATATACAGGGCATGTTTAGACCTTGTTGTCCTCCTCAGGACAGTTCCAAGCAAACACAACATATCTTAGCACTGGCACTTTGGCATGAGGCCATAGCAGCAGTTTAGTATTCACGTGCCATTAATACTAACAACAGAAAAGGCAAGAGACATTTCTTGCCTATGGCCTAATAATTCTTGGGGGGCCCTCTTCCCTGAGAGCCTCCAAGGAAGATGAATTTATATATGTCTTTGATTTATATCCCAACAATTCCCCAGTATATGTCCCACTCTAGTTAGGACTACCAATTAGATTTAGACCTTAAACAGGATGGGAACTATGGTAAAACTCAAAATCAAATAAAGATGTGAACAAACAAGACTTTGGAGGTCTACACACTAATGCACAGACTTTGAGAAACAAGCAAAATGAAGTCCTAGTTCAGGAAGGTAAATATTACTTTATAAGGTAAAATAGAGACCTGGTGGAAAGGCTCCCATGATGGGAATATAACAATTGAAAGAGATAATCTGTTTAGAAATAGTCAAGATGGGGGGAAGCATGATATATCAAAGGCAAATTCATCAGTACAGAAACCCAGATGAGTTAAAACCGGACCAACTGAAAGCAACTGGAGAAAGAAAGAAAAGCAATATTGTGGTAAGAATCGAAGACGACAGTTTATTGAAACAAATCTCCCCCCCCCCCAAAACCCCCTCAAAGATGCAAGAATAGGTTTTTTTGGGGGGGGGGGGGCTGGGAGATTTCTGCTAAGCATAGGCTCTCCAAGAAATTCCTGATATGGGTTGCAAACAATTGCCTCTTTCAAAATGCAGAAAGAACTGCAAGATCAGTACAAGATCAGTTTGATGCTAACAAACAAGGAGGAATCAATGCAGTTTGGAGGAATTGACCATGCTATATTAGAATGCATGGCTGTGAGACAGGCCTAAGATGAATATAGTCAAACACAAACTTTAGATTTTACCAAGTTCAGTTAAATACTGTATATATCTGAATATAAGCTGAGTTTTTCAGCCTCAGCTTATACTCGAGTCAAAGTTATTTATTATTTTACTGGGTTATTATTATTGTTACATTTATTATTTTTCTCTATTGTTATTACATTTATTATTTTATTCTATTTATTATTACATTTAACATTTTACTCTATTTATTCTTGTTATTATTACATTTATTATTTTACTCTCTAGGATCAGATGGGAAAGGTGCAATGTACTGTCATCAGAGAAGTGACCATACAGAGAACATAATATATAATATATAGACTCCACATGATGGAAGTTGTAGCTCACCCTGCAGCAAGTCAGAGCACCGTGACCCCCACTGACAATAGACCTGGACCACATTTGGAACACAGAACCCCAATGACCAAAGAAAAATACAGGAGGGCTTGTTCACTTTGATTTATAGAAATTATAGTTCACCTACATCCAGAGAGCATTGTGAACGCAAACAGAAATGGATCTGCACCAAATTGGGCACGCACACCCAATATGCCAACATTTGAAAACTGGTGGGTTTGGAAATTGTCCTTGGCACTTGTTAGTTGTAGGTACTGAGATTTACAGTTCACCTGCAATTGAAGACTATGGCTGCAAATGAACCACACCGATGATGGACCTGGACCTAACTTGGCACACAGAACACCCATGACTAACTGGACATACTGGAAGGATTTGACAGCACTGACCAACCATGGTGGGAGTGGTAATTCATTCTGCAACTGGAGAGCATACTGAACTCCACCGATGCTGCATCTTGAGCAAACTAGCCCAACATGACAAACTTTAGGTATTGATGGCATTTCAGGGAGTTAATTTGGCATGATATGAGTTTTAGTATACCCACAACCTTCTTCTAATAACCCGGGCAACTCTAGGTACCCAATCTAGTAATAATAACAATTCTTACCGTCCTCAGCTCAAGGTGGAGTATGACAGTCAGAACAAATTGATAAAAATATAAAACCATCAAAAACACGTATTTGACACCACTTTAACCATCAGGGCTTGATGCTATGGAATCATGGGATTTGTAGTTTGGTGAGGCACCAGCACTCTTTGGTAGGGAAGTCTAAAGGCCTTCTGAAACTACATCCCCCACTACATTCCATAGCACTGAGCCTTGCCTTTACAAAAGCTCAAAGGACAAGGATTGCAAAGACTAAAGTTGACTGAAGAAACAGCCTTCTAAAAGCCACAAAGAGCACAATACCTCTGAGCATGTATAAAGTGCCATTTAATAAATAATAATAACTTTATTTATATTCCACCCTATCTCCCCAGGGGGACTCAGGGCGGATTCCAACATACAGCGGCAAATGTTCAATGCCTCCATAGAACAAACATAATAATCCCAGAAAACCCCCACATATAATCACAAAAGGGCCACAACTGCAAGCTCTCTTGAGCCCCTTCCACACAGGTGAATAAAATCCCAGATTATCTGCTTTGAAGTGGTATATATGACAGTGTGGGCTCACATATCCCAATTCAAAGCAGATATTGTGGGATTTTCTGCCTTGATATTCTGGGTTATACGGCTGTGTGGAAGGGCTATTTGCCAAATTCTTGCTCAGGGCTGGAGAGGGAAAAGAGGCCAGACTGGGAAGGAGGAAGGAAATGCTTTCCCCAACTCTCATCCATACAGTAGAATGAATGTAGCTTTGTATCATCAAAGGCTTTCATGGCTGGAATCACTGTTTTGCTGTGAGTTTTTCGGGCTGTATGTCCATGTTCCAGAAGCCTTCTCTTCTGATGTTTTGCCTGCATCTATGGCAGGCATCCTCAGAGGTTGTGAAGTTTGTGAGACCTCACAACCTCCGAGGATGCCTGCCATGGAGGCAGGTGAAACATCAGGAGAGAAGGCTTCTGGACCATGGCCATATAGTCCAAAACACTTACAACCCAATGTAGTTTTTGGCACGCCTTAAACTGCCTTGGCTATGTAGTCCTGGGAGGCCCCAGGACTCTTGGGAGGAGGAGGCAAGAGGCCTTATGAAACTGCAACTCCTGCGGGGGAATAGCATTGAACCAGGGATGCTAAAGCGGTGTCAAATTGAATGATTTCTGCAGTGCAGATGTGCCTTCTCCGGGGAATAGCCTTCCAGCCTCAGGCCAGAGAAGGCCGCTCCCTCTTCCCTTCCCCGGCTCTTGTCTCCAAAGCTGGCACAAGTAATAATAATCACAACAGTAATAATCAAAGGCCTCTCCCCGCCGCCCTGCTCCCCTTTACCTCCGGCATCGAGGGCACAGGCTGGAGAAGCTGTCCTTCCCTTGACAAAAGCTCAAAGGCCTGGAGAAGGGGATGCCTGGGAACTTGCCTCCGCCTCGGCTGCCTGCCTACCGGGAAGGCGACGGAGGGAGGGAAGGAAGGAGAAAGAGGCAGGCGGGAGCGCAGGCTTCGGTTTCTTTCAGTGGCTTCGTTTCACAGCAAGCCACTCGAGGCAGACTCAGCCCCTAAAGTCAATGAGACACACAGTGCCCAAGGAAGGCACTTTCGAACTGCTGGCTCCAGGCAAACAAGGCCTTGTACAACTACAACTCCCAGGAGGCCCTATCATTGAGCTATGTATAAGTTTCATATAATTTTCATAGTATAAACAAGGTTTGGAGTTTTTTTCCTTTACACTTTGCATGTCCTACAGTTGATTCTTGTGTCATTTCTTCTGCAGCCGCTCCAAGTGGCTCATCACAAACATCATTCTCAACATGTTTTCTTTTCTTAATTAGAAACCTATCCATTTTAGTGGCAAATACTGCAACCCAATCAACAAACTGTGCAAATTATAACATGTATAACTGTACCTATACTTGAACAGCACCAGTCTTTGTGGGGAATATTTTTTAGGCAACACACTACTAGTGTGTCCACATACACAGTTTGGAAAGCTATACTATAGATCAGTGTTTCTCAACCTGGGGGCCAGGACCCCTGGAGGGGTCGCGAGGGGGTGTCCGAAGGGTCGCCAAAGATCATCAGAAAACACAGTCTTTTCTGTTGGTCATGGGAGCTCTGTGTGCCAATTTTGGTATAATTCTAGCGTTGGTGGGGTTAAGATTGCTCTTTGATTGTAGGTAAACTATACATCCCAACAACTACAACTTCCAAACGTCAAAGACTATTTTCCCCAAATGCCACCAGTGTTCACATTTGGGGATTGAGGATTCATGCCAAGTTTGGTCCAGATCCATCATTGTTTGAGTCCACATTGCTCTCTAGATGTAGGTGAATTACAACTCCAGAACTCAAGGTGAATGCCTACCAAACCCTTCCAGTATTTTCTGTTGGTCATGGGAGTTTTGTGTGTCAAGTTTGGCCCAATTCCATCGTTGGTAGAGTCCAGAATGTTCTTTGATTGTAGGTTAACTATAAATCCCAGCAACTACAAAATCAATACCCCACCAGTATTCAAATTTGGGTGTATTGGGTATTTGTGCCAAATTTGGTCCAGTGAATGAAAATACATCCTGCATATCAGATGTTTACATTACAATTCATAACAGTAGCAAAGATACAGTTATGAAGTAGCAACAAAATAATAAATGGTTGGTGGTCATCACAACATGAGGAACTGTATGAAGGGGTCACGGCATCAGGAAGGTTGAGAAACACTGCTATAGATGAAGCCTTACTCAATACAGCCATGGGTAAGGACCATTTGAGGGTTCCAGCATCACCATGCAGGAGCCTACCTTTGGCATACACCAGTTGCACATTATTTATGTAGCTTATGGAAGGCAAGGATTCATTAGAAAAAAAGCTCTAGCAAACTATCAGTCTTAATACTTTTCAATGGATTTGTTTGTGCAAGATCTCATTTTTGTTCTCACACTTAAAAGATTTAAATTAGAGTAATGCGATATGGGGTAGGAATTTTTTATTGGTATGCGATACATATGTATAACTGATCCATCCTTTTCAACATCACGGGCCATGTCACTTTGGAAACTCTATTGAAACTAGTGTGAACGTTACTTGATTTCTCCATGGTGCTTTTACTCTATCTATCTATCTATCTATCTATCTATCTATCTATCTATCTATCTATCTATCTATCTATCTATCTGAGCTCCAGCACTTTGGTTGGCCCCTTTCCTGTACTTATGACACTTTAATGGCCAAGGGCACTACCCTGGCAACCCAGCCCTCTGACTATTGCACTTTCCCTCGGCTCTTCCAAGGAATCATTGCACTTACTCTGAGCTCAAACCCAGTTTCAAATTGGCCAGCCACGGTGTTGTTTTTATGATGTTAATTGATTTTAATGTTTTTATTATTATTTGTTGTTATTGTTTTTACTGTGTCTGTTTTATTTGTAATCCTTGGGCTTATCCCTCTGTAAGCCACCCCGAGTTCCTTTGGGGAGACAGAGGTGGGGTATAAAATAAAGTATTATTATTATTATTATTATTATCTCACAAAATGCAATCTAAACAACAAGAATTCTCCAAAACTCCCCAAATGACCTGAGACCCTACCATTTTAGAAAACCTAAAAGTATTCTTCTGTGATACAATTTTCACTACAGGTATCTAAAGCTGCATTACAGAATGAATGCACATACATACTTCAATGTTATTGAATCCTAGGAGTTGTAGTTTTGCAAGGTCTGTAGTCTTCTCTGCCAAAGAGTGATGGTGCCTCACCAAATTACAGCTTCCATGATTGAATAGCAATGAGCTTTGGTAGTTAAAGTGGTGTCAAAATGCATTAATTCTGCAATGTAGATGTATCCCTAAGTCTATGAAAGCTTAGGCTACCAATTTCTTCCTCTCAGTCTCAAAGCTGCTAAGAACTCTTTGCATAGTGATCTGAGAGTATGCAGCCTAAGTTAAAGACTAGTTTGGAGGAAAACAAAATAGAAAAGTGCCATCCTGCCTGTTCTAAAACAAAGCCTGTTTGGGTGGTTTGGAAGGCGATTCTCAAATTCAGCATTTCTCATCCCCTCAATGCACTGTATTTTCAAAAGCTTTCAGACATGATTCGTCTTCATTTCTTTGGCCTCGGTGCTCTGGAGTGATGCCTGTTTTCCCATTCCTCAACTCCCAGGCTTCTTTCCTCTCCCTGTCCACGTGACAAAGGAATTCTGTTCTTGCTCAAATCTGCAAGGGGAGATGAGATCACTTGAAAAAAAATATCACAGCCCTTTTCTGTACAAGGATGAATGGAGAGACACACCCAGCGTTGCTGCACAGGGCCAGAGAATGGGTGCGGCTGGGTTGGCCTGGAGACCGAGGTGGCAATGTCAGTAGGAAGATTCGGTAACCGACTAGATGCATCCTAAATAACAGATTTATGCTCTACAGAACCTTAAAACTAAAAACCCAAGCAAAAGGATAGTGGGAAATCCCTTTGTGGGAATGCCTTCCAACCCGATAGTGAAAGTAGGATTTACTACATTCTTTAAGAGGTGGAAGGTTCTCCTGATACAGAATTAAGTCATCATTTTAAAAAGCCTAAAATATCTCAATGAGGACTGAGCCTCATAAATATCTTCTAGGACTCACATACTGCTAAAAGCATTTGTATATTGGATGGGAAAACATTAGCCTGGCAGAAAAGAAAGCATTAGTCTTGGGAAACGCTATAATGCATGTAGTACGAGCAAGCTTCAAGCAATCTTGGGGTGCATCTACACTGTAGAATTAATGCAGGTTGACACCACTTTAGCTGCCATGGTTCAATGCTAAGGAATCTTAGGAGTTGTGGTCTGATGAGTTGAACCAGCACTCTTTGGCAGAGAAGGTTAAAGACCTTGTAAAACTACAACTCTTATGATTCCATAGCATTCACCCATAGTATTTCAAATGGTGTGAATCTGCATTAATTCTTAGTGTAGATGTAACATTAGTTGTCTCCCATGACTCCATGAGGATGCTTAAAATTTCTTTTAGCCTAAAAGCAGACACTTCCTGTGATTCAGTTCACTGTCCCATAGCTTTTGTGCTGTCTTTCATCCACCCATCCTTTCTTAATCTTATCCTATGAATGAAATGATTTTTAAAACTTATTTTGCCTTTCATTGGACATTTTTGTGAACAGATCCATGCTCAACTGAGTGAGAGAGAATATGAATTCCCTTTCCAGGTAAAACATAAAGCTGAACAAGGATTTCTTGATGTAATGATCAGTTAGATATTTATCCACTTCTCCAGAATTTAACTTGTATATTGTACAGAAGATCTGCACATTGGATTGGGCAGAATAGACACTGGACAGCAGTGTGAGGTTTGCTTAAATATTAGGATTCTTGGGAAAGCAGAGATTTGCTAGGGAAGACACAAATAAGAATGGTCAGTGTTATATTTAGCATGGCATCTGGATATATGAGGCGCACAAGACTGCTGCCTAGTAACTCTGTATGCCACAATGTAAAATCATTGGCAGCTGACAGAAAAGCAAATACAGTTTGTCCAGTTTTGTGAAAGTCAAATATAGAAACAAACAGAAGTGATAGTATAACTAAGGGTTATCAGCAGGGAACCTACTGACCAAGCATCTGTGAAGGTTCTGCAAAATGAGGTGCCTTGTCTCCCTAAAAGTACCAAAAATTGCTTTGGAGACAGCATCAATACTAATACCAATACTAATGATAATGATGACTACTACAACAACAACTTTATTTGTAACCCTCCCTATCTCCCTGAAGGGACTCAGGGAGGTTTCCAACAAAATGGCATACATTCAATGCCAAAAACATACAAGCTGGGCTGCATCACATTGTAGAATTAATTCACTTTTTCACCAATTTAATTGCCATGGCCCAATCCTATGGAATCACGGGAGGTGCAGTTTTACAAGGTTTTCTGCTTTCTCTGTCCAAGAGTGCTGGTGCCTCACCAATCAACAACCCCCAGGATCTCATAGCATTGCGCTATAACAGTTTAAACAGTGTCAGACTGCATTATCCTTACAGCATAGATTCAGCTCTGGAAATGAAGGAGTAGCGATAGGTAGGTAGCTACAGGTTCCTGTGGCAGATGGTTAAAGCTTCTTCTGAACTAGACAACATCAGTGCAAACCTGCCAAAGCACCAGATTGCAAAGGTGGGCTTAAGCTAGATAATGACTTTCTTCTCTGTTGTCCACATAGAGTGCATTATGGAAAGTACATAATGCAAACATAGTAAACTATAGCTGTCCTGTAGATTAATAACTCTCACTGCAATTTGGAATCAATCTAGCCAATCTGACAGTCGGTTTAATAACAATAATTCTTCAAGAAATCATACTGGGAAAGGAAAACCACTGCTTCATTTTAAACACATAATGGTCACTATTCTAGTTCTAATATAGTAATGTAGTGTTAAATAAAGTGTTGTTGTAACCATTGTTGTTGTTACCTAGTCATAAGAAAAAAATGGTTTAGTGCTTCTCAAGTTTTTTTGCATCTGCATTTCTACAGTCTATTTAAACACTACATTCCTTTTTTATTTTTTATTAAAAAACTAATTTGTGTGAACTTGGCATCACACAAACTGATTATTTCTGTAGTGCATTGAAGAATGCTGCTATTACTTCAAAGTGAACAGGGCTTGCTTAAAATGTACCAGCAATAATTAACCTCAGTAATTATTTCTATTAATAGAAGTAAAGAATGCATTTTCCTATCTACAGATCACCATCACGCATTTACAGTGTGTGTACTACTCCAAGATATAACTTCAAGGATTGAGTAAAGAACTATTATTTATCAAGTGGCAACTTCATCAGGGCTTTTGGCTGCTACAACAAAGTAAACTGGCAAATTGCCACAGGGCTCTTGGATTACTGGAACAGGAAGAAAGTTAATAGCTGGCAATGCAAATAAAAATAAATAAAAAGAATTGCTCTTGCCTTTTCAAGACCCTTGAAGAAACAAAACAAATGTAAAAAAAAAAAGCTAAAGCCTAACCGCTGGTGCTGTCTGTAGACGCCTCCAAGGTCATGTGGCCAGTATGACTGCATGGAGTGCCATTACCATCCCGCTGGACCTATTGATCGACTCATATTGGCATATTTTCAAACTGCTAGGTTGGCAGGAGCTAGGGCTAACAGTGGGAGCTCGCCCCACTCCCTGGATTCGAACCGTCAACCTTTCAGTCAGTAGGTTCAGCAGCTCAGTGCTTTAACCTGCTGCGCCACTAGGGGATCCCAGTGTTTTAAGTGTTACTCCAGCAATATATATATATATATATATATATATATACATATATATATATATATATATATATATATCTGGAGTAACACACACACACACACATACACAAAAGCTCTGAATAGTATAGGGGTTAACTTCCCCATGGTGCTTTTTTTGCTGTCTGTGCCCCTGTTCAGAAGATTTCACCTCACATCCTGTCCCTGTGAGAACTGGATTTTGGAAAATATGGCATGTTGTGGAAACAAGGATTGGTGAGAAAGTTTCAGTGGAGACATCTTTTCCCCATGATAATAACTTTTCAGTAGTGAATTTCCCTTCAGATTTCTCTCACTTCCTGTTATGAACTATGAGTTGTTTGGAAGTCGGATGTTTGTAACTTGGGAACTGTTTTCTCATTTTACCTTGTTCATTTGGCCTGCCCATTTTGTTTGTTTTTATATTGTGTTAATTTGCTTTATAGATGTCATTTTTGTTACTGCATGTATTTTATTCTGATGCAATTTATGTTGTCTGTAGTGTGTATTTTAGTTTTGCTGTATTTGTACCTTTGGGCTTGGCCTCATGTTAGCAGCTTCGAGTCCCCTTTGAGGAGATGGTGGTGGGGTATAAATAAAGATGATGATGATGAATATTATTTGGACTGGTGGTATAAAAATACTGCTGAATGCAGGTACTAAGGATGCCTGTTTTTGGACCGCTAGGCCTAGGGTTACCAGACAATCCCAAGCCTAAGTCACAGTAGCTTTGTAGGAAACGGAGGAGTCCAGCCAAGAGCACTATACAGGGAAATGGAATAGACCAACAAAGGCTGTCCTCTGGGGGGGATGTTAAGCTCCACCCAAAACTAACACAAAGGAAGGCATCTACACTATTGGGGAAACCTATGAACGGGGGAACTGAAGCAGAGGAGGGGAAAAGGCAGAGCCAAGTCTTCACACTGATGATGTTTGTGATACTATGCATGCCTTCTCCCACATCAAAGAATTTACACACAAGTAAACTTATGGAAGAAGAGGAGGAGGAGGAGGGGTGAAAGAATGGGAAAGAGAACAAATCTTGGGGCAGAAAGAGGAGCTTCTCTTAGTGACACGACCTCCATGCCATTCCTTGCAAATCCCAAGGCCTGGCCTAAGCCCAGCGCTTCAGCCAAAGTGACGGTTAATCATAACTTACCGAGGGAAACGACTTCGAATTACTGCTTGTGCCTGCTAAGTCTTTTTCTTATTGCCATTAACATTATGGAATTAGTCTTCTAACACGGCCATCATATGGGCGCAAAAATGCATCCACACAAAACGCGAAGAAAAACATCTCTCCACCTTTTCCCAATGGGAGCCGGAAGTGGAGGCTGTACGCAGCGCTCACCTGATGCGCTTACCTCTATAGCCTCGGGGCGCGAGAACAGCCCTGCCTCCGCCGCTAGCCAAGGCCCTCCACTCCGACCCTCAGGTCCGCCTACTTCCGGCCTCGTGGGTTCCTGCCTGTCATTGCGTTCGCGTCGCCGTGGCAACCCAGAGATGCCGGCGGAAGAAGTCGAGAGAAAGGGGCGGGGTCAAAACGATGCTCCCAGGCAGGGTGCGAGAGAGCTACGTCACGGGTAGAAGGGAGGGGAGGCGTTGCCGTGGCAACCCAGAGAAGCCGGCGGAAGAAGTTAGAAGGGGCGGGGTCAGAGCGAGGCGCTGAGGGGAGTAAGAGGCTACAGGCGGGAAGGGAAAGGTGTTGCTATGGCAACCTAGGAAAGTCGGCGGAAGAAGTTAGAGGGAAAGGGTGGGACCAGAGGAGGAAGCGAGCCTACGTCACTGGCAGAAGCGGGGGGGGGGGAGGGCGTTGCCGTGGCAACCTAAAGAAGCCAAGTGGGAGGAGGCGCTGCCTAAGCAGAGGAGGCCACGTCACGGGCAGAATGAAGGGAGGAGGCGTTGCCAAGGCAACTCGGAGAAGCCGGCGGAAGAAGACAGAAGGAAGAGGTGGGACCAGAACGAGGCGCCGAGCAGGAAGTGGGCTTACGTCACGAACAGGTGTTTTCGCGCGGGAAATTGGGATCTGACCCTCGCGCGCTGAAAAAGGGAGAGTAAGTAACTTTTGGAAAGCTAGGCGGGCGCCAAAAAGGGAAGGAAGGGAGGGAGGGGGATGCTGGTTTGGAGTTCTTTTCTTTTGGCCTTCTTGTGTATATGTTTTCTCGAAAGGAAGACCTCCATTGAGGCCTGTGGGGCGTTCACCTTTTGCCACTGAGTATACAGCCCCCAGTGAACTATATCTCCCTAAGTTCACAGCCATTTCTCCTATACATTGACAGACCCTTGGCTGCTCCTTCCTTCAGGGACTGACACAGGTACATCTTTGGAAACTACACCGTTGTTGTTCTTTGCCATACCTTTCCTTCCCTCTTTTTCTCTGCATCACTCCTAATTCTAGCTGTGCATTGCTCCCCTCTATCTAGACTCACATTTACCTTCTGCAGATCAGCTACTCTTCCTATATTAAGTTGTTAAATAAGAAGTAAGGGGTGTGCAAAAGCATCATGGTCAAGGTAGGACTTGCCGACTCCAGATAGTTGTACACCACTTTAACCAATCTCTTGAGCAGGACCTTACTGACTTCATTGTTCTTATTGTCGCAACCATGTATCTTATTCTTCCAGTTCTGTTGAACTAAAACCCTGAAAATAAGAATAATAGCAATTAAGATTCTCAGCTAAAGAAGGACATACAAAATGCATGTTTATTTATTTACAACATTTATATCCCGCTTTTCTCACCCTGAAGGGGACACAATAGCTTACAAGTTATAAGTAAAGGTTTTCCCCTGACATTAAGTCCACTGGTGTCCGACTCTGGGGGTTGGTGCTCATCTCCATTTCTAAGCCGAAGAGCAGCGTTGTCTGTAGACACCTCCAAGGTCATGTGCCCAGCATGACTGCATGGAGCTCCATTATATGTACATGCAATATATTATATTATTAGCCTAGCACAATATTAGTATGATGTATTACTATATTGTACTGTACCACTATATTGTAATATTATTAGTAATATTACATGTAATATGAAATATAAAATTATTATATTGTAGTATTATTACTATTGTATTACATCATAATATTATCAGTATTATATGTGTGTAGATTATTAGCACAGCACAATATTAGTATTATATATTACTATATTGTACTATGTCACTATGCTGTAATATTATTAGTAATATTACATGTAATATAAAATATATAATTATATTGTAATATTGTTAGTATTATATTGTATTACATTATAATATTATAATATATTATATGTATACAATATATTATATTAGCCCAGCACAATATTAGTATTATATATTGCTATATTGTTACTGGGAGGAGGGACTCCCAACCGATGACTCAGGAGACATGGTGGAACTCTGTCTTCCTGATTCCCCTCCTTCACTCTCCTGTTGAGATTAGTTTGTGGTTGTCTCCAAACTCTTTAACAGAATACTCTCAATAAAACACAGGAGATTGACCTGCCCTAAGTGTCCCAGTGGCATCAGATGTATTTATTATTTATTATTTATTTACTGTATTTATATACCGCCTTTCTCACCCCTGGGGGGACTCAATGCAGTTTACAACATGTTAATGGCAAAAATTCAATGCCAACATACAAGTAAAACAGGAAATCATAATAACTAACCGCTACATATAACCAAGATTTCCATTCTATATTTTTCCAAATAGAGGGAGAAAATGTGGAGGCCGTGACAGACTTTGTATTTCTAGGTGCAAAGATTACTGCAGATGCAGACTGCAGCCAGGAAATCAGGAGATGCTTACTTCTTGGGAGGAGAGCAATGACCAATCTCGATAAAATAGTGAAGAGTAGAGACATCTCACTGGCAATGAAGATCCGCATAGTCAAAGCAATGGTATTCTCCATAGTAACCAATAGATGTGAGAGCTGGACCGTAAAGAAGGCTGAGCAAAGGAAGAGAGATGCTTTTGAACTGTGGTACTTGAGGAAAATTCGGAGAGTGCCTTGGACCACAAGAAGATCAAACCAGTCCATACTCCAGGAAATAAAGCCTGACTGCTCATTGGAGGGAAGGATACTAGAGACAAAGTTGAAGTACTTTGGCCACATCATGAGGAGACAGCAAAGCCTAGAGAAGACAATTATGCTGGGGAAAGTGGAAGGTAAAAGGAAGAGGGCCGACCAAGGGCAAGATGGATGGATGTCATCCTTGAAGTGACTGGACTGACCTTGAAGGAGCTGGGGGTGGTGACGGCCGACAGGGAGCTCTGGCGTGGGCTGGTCCATGAGGTCACGAAGAGTCGGAGACGACTGAACGAATGAACAACAACATATAACTATGACTTAAAATCATTAAAACAATTAAACGTACAACATCAAACAAAATTTAAACATTAAAAGAAAGCATTAAAAACATCCAGGCATAAATATGAAGGTCACATCATCCAAAAAACCTACACCATAGCTATTCTGATTGTCATTGCACATGTTCCTTAATTACTCTTTGCACTGCATAATTTTACTGGCCAAGACTTGGTCCCACAATCACGTCTTTGTTATCTTTCTAAAGGCATATCTGATCTTGAAGGCTAAACAGTGAATACCAGTTAATACCAGGTGCTATAGGCTGTATTAGAGGCCCCTTCCACACAGCTGAATAAAATCCCACATTTTCTGCTTTGAACTGGGATCTATGGTAGTGTGGACTCAGATAACCCAGTTCAAAGCAGATATTCTGAGTTATATGGCAGTGTAGAAAAGCCCTATGCCAGTCCAAGAGCTGCTGGAGTAAATCCCCTTCAATTCGTTTTGGGAAGCAAAAACACAACTGCTGTTATTTTAAAATGGCACATCCTAGTTCCACTGAACCAGAAGGGCCCGAACTGCAGCAGTGATTCCACCATGGTAAATTTTCCTCATTTTTCCAGATATGCCTGTATGTGTCTTCAGGTCACTTGTCAGCTTATTCCAACCCCATATTGGATATAATTAGCCACATCCCCATGATGCAAGAAATACGCAAGAGATGATTTCTTTAGTTCATGCCTGTAAGGGCCCTTCCACACATTCCTGAAACTCAGAATATCAAGGCAGAAAATCCCACAATATCTGCTTTGAACTGGATTATCTGAGTCTACAATGCTATATAATCCAATTCAATGTGGATTTTATACAGTTGTGTGGAAGGGGCCATAGTTTGGAAGACGTATGTATGCTTGTTTTAAGAACACTTAAAATTGGACTTTGAATATGTAGTAATTTCCACTTTGAAGAAAGTTTGTAATGTTGTATACTTTTGGAAATGTGAGTGTTGAAATACTAAAGTCCAGTGGCCAGTCATTTTTTTAAATGTACTAATCTCTTACTGTGACATTTCACAGGAATTTTTGGTGAAAATGCAGTTTAATACAAGCAGGAGAAATAAAGTGCCGAGATATAAGGTGTCAAGGCTAGGAGATAACAAAGAAGATGAGTACCCATTCAGTCTTCAATTCTATCTTACGCCGCCAACTGAAAATATTTCCCTCATAGAATTTGAAAGTTTTGCAGTTGATAGGCTCAAATGTAAGTACTAAAGCAGACAGAATTATACTTGTTTTGTTTTATGTGACTCTCCAGAATTATATTTTTATGAAACTGTTTTAAGCATGCTGTTGGTATAATTTTATGCTGTTATTGTTTTTGTGCTTATGTATTGATTATTTTATATGCAGCACCCTAGAGTGCTTTTGTGAGTCACCCTAAGTCCCTTTGGGGAAATGGTGACGGGGTATAAATAGAATTTATTTATTATTACTAGTTTATTATATACTCAGTACATTCATGGTTAACAAGTTAATTCACGTGGCTGTTGTTATCTACTGTGCAGAATTGTTGTGTTCTCTTTTGTAATCGCTACTGTTCATTCTAAAGAATATGCATTTCAGACATATGTTTGATAATCCACTCACAGATTGTAGGACTGACATTACCTGTTTCTTTACAGTACTCAAAGTAGTTGAGAACCTGGGGGTGAGTATGATCAAAGGTACAGCTCTATACAACCAAAAGCTGGAAGCAGAGCTTAAGGCTCTCCAATTTCCATACAAGGTAAGTAGAAATGAATAAAGTGTCCCTAATATTTTTTAGAAACATGTGCTCACTGTAGTACCTGAGATAGATCTGCATAAAAATACCTGAAGAGATTGGGTATTGCTGACCAATTAAGAAATGGGTGCGTGTTGGTAATTATATTGAGCAGCCTATCATGAGGCTCACAGTAAACCTGTTCCCCTAGCTTCTGGCAAACGTTGATATTGTCAGCAATAGTGTTCCTACACTTGTGTAGATCAGCAGTTCACCAACTTGTTCCACATTGTGAAAATCTTTTTTAAAAGTTTGTACCAGAGTATGATGGTCTTTTTGAAATTCAATGTACTTTTGCTTGAAAAATGAAATTTTAAACTGTGACACTCATTGATTGCACTGATAGACGTATAGTCTCTGTAGCCAGAAAGGCTATCTGAACAATGCTCTCCTTCATGTCCACATATCTGTGCAAATTAGGCTTTTCAGCTTATGCTTATCCAAAAAACAAATTTAGAGGAGTAACTTGGATTCCACCCTGGATTTTCATATTAAAAATAAAACCTAATTTCAAAACTATTGTAAGTACAAAAAAAAAAAAAGATAGAAAAGGAAGAAAGAAAGAAAAAAACATTAATCACTTTAGGTTTGAATCCAACATTTTCCTTTACCAAAATGAATGTTTGTGGTTATATCCAATATTATCTTGCACAGAAACACAGAAATGCTGGACCACTCTAACAACCACCATGTCAGACTACACAGAGAAGCCATTGAAATCCACAAGCATGTGGACAATTTCAAACAAAAGGAGGAAACCATGAAAATGAACAAAATCTGGCTACCAGTATTTTTAAAAGCCCTCTAAAACCAGGATATGAAATAAAGAACAACTCTCTGAAAACAGGGGAATTCCAGACATGAAACAATCAGGGTCAGCCAACACCTCAAAACAAAGGATTCCCCCAGGCAGGAATCAGCCAGGCCTTGAAGCTAAAGGCCATTAAATGCTAATCAAGGTGATTAATTGCAACATTCACACTTGCCTCCAACAGACAAGAGTTTTTTCTCTCACCCTGAACCTCCCACAGGTATATAAACCTTGCTTGATTTTCAACAGACCTCACAACCTCTGAAGATGTCTGCCATAGATATGGGCAAAACATCAGGAGAGAATGCTTTTGGAACATGGCTGTACAGCCCAGAAAACTCACAGCAACCCAGTGATTCCAGCCATCAAAGCCTTCGACAACACATTGTTTTCTCTTTGTTTCTCAACGTACTGCGTTATATGAAATGCCCAGGCAATAGGAGTAGATGAAAGGAGGAAGGACTTTGTGAATTTGTAATGCTTAGGGACAGAGTTAGAGTTCCATGGAAGAAAAAAAAATCTTCTGAAGGGTTCCATGATTGAAAAAGTTTGGGAACTGCTGGTGTAGATTACCATAAACCCATGAAAAGATCCCCGGTGAGGTAGTGCTTCCTTTAAGAGACCTGATCTCTTTGTTGGGAATGGCTCCAGACCTATCTTGTGAATGCACCAGTAGCTGCTATGACTTAGAAGTGCTTTTGGACAGCTAAGGCTGATGTGGTGACATCATCCCACCATTTTCAGAAGCAAAGTTGATTGGGATTTGAGGCAGAGCCATTTCCATTGCAGCACCATGCTCTGGGACTTCTTTCCTGGAGTCATTTGGTTGAGCGTGTATCTTTTAAGCTTCTAAAAAGCAGCCAAGATCTTTTTATTTATCTAAAATTTTATGTGGCTTGGAACACTGTTTCTCTTCTGCAGCAGAAGGAGAAATTGTCTCAAGCAAGGTGGACGACTCTTACAACTCTCACAAGTTTCTGCTTTCAGTGATTCCTCCATGGGGCTTTGGGAAGAGATAGGTTGTGTGAGCCTACTGTCCTTTGCTTAGCATTGGATCTCACCTGTAAGATGGCATGCTACCCTAGATGCTATCTAGATTTACTCTTACCGATGCATATTCTTTTGTAATTAGGCTCTGCTTGAAAATGATTATGACAGGAGAAGAAAAGATCATATTTCCCACTTCATACTGCGACTTGCTTACTGCCAAACGTAGGTATTGTTTTCCCAGTCATTGTTCAGTTTCTTGTGTCTTGTATTTATCAGTTATATTTGAACACCATATTTTGGTGGATCTGGTGGTATGATGGTAACAGAATTAAATCTGTTCTAGTGATTTTTAGTGGTTCAGTAGTGCCACCCTGAGGCGAACATTTGCAATATCATTCTTTACTTTTACTACCAAATGTTTTTTCACTCGTAGCTTGACTTCATAGTAACATAGTTATCCATCATTCATTTTGCCTGAATAAAGAATAAATTGCTGCTTGTCATAAATTTTGCACTTAGCAATAAACAAAATGCTTCAAAATTTAAAGGTTTTTCATCTATCATTAGTTAGTCTTATTAGTCTTTTGATACTGTTGCAGTTGAGAAAAACATTTATGTGATCCTTTTAAGATTGTGTCCTGATTCTTTCAGTTACCAAGACATGCAAACTCTATGGATAGTGTTTGGATTAGTCATACTGTATATACTCATGTATAAGTTGATTTCATGCATCAGTGGGGGTCATAATTATGGAGTTTGATATGATCTGGGAATAAGTTGAGGGTCATTCTGCATTTTAGGACTTTAGATCCCACCGTATTTTAGGAATTTTATAATTTTCAAATTTTTATAATTTTATTAATGAGACTTTTATGCACTGTTATTATACTTACGTCGTTGTATTTATACTTGTGTTTTGTTGTCTGCATGTGGCACTTGGAGTGCTTCCGTGAGCCGCCCTGAGTCCCTTTGTGATGGTGGCAGGGTACACATACATATTATTATTATTATTATTATTATTATTATTATTATTATTATTCTGTAGAGGGGAAAAGTGCCAGGAACGCATCAGGAGGCTTACTACTCTTGGCTGCCACCACCACATTATTGTTGTTATTATTATTGTTTATTTTTTATCTTGCCTTTCTTCCGATAGGAACTCAAGGTGATGGACAATAATGTGGCACAACACAATAAAATTTACAAATAAGGCAAATACATATACACATAAATACATTTTTTAAAAAATAATTTGTATCATGTATACAAAAGGCCTCCTGGTAGCGCAGCAGGTTAACCTGCTGAGCTGCTGAATTTGCTGATTGAAAGGTTGGAGGTTCAAATCCGCAGAGTGGGGTGAGCTCCCGTTGTTAGCCCCAGCTTCTGCCTACCTCTGCGGAAGGTAATGGTACTTCATGCAGTCATGCTGGCCACATGACCTTGGAGGTGTCTATGGATAACAATGGCTCTTTGGCTTAGAAATTGAGATGAGCACCACCCCCCAGAGTCTGACATAACAAGACTTAATGTCAGGGGAAACTTTTACTTTTTATACAAAATTTAAAATGCAGTTAAAATACAACAAAAATTACATTTAAAAGCTAAAAAATCCCCCTGAAGCCCCACCCATTTTCCTACTCAGACATTCAAAAAGGCCAGAAACAATACTGTACCAGAGTCAGTAGACAAGAGTCCTTGCTTCATGTAGGTCCTTCAGGGATGGACTAAACTCCCAGTTTATACGAGAACAACCATAGTTCAAATGTTCACAGCAAAGAATTAATCTAGCAAAAGGTTAAAACCATATAGATAACATATTAATCATTGGAACTAAAAACAACACCAGAACTATCTAGCAGATGCCTTGACCATGTTAGTAGTATTGCTGAGCTGAAAAAATATGGCAGTTAATTACAAATGGAGCCTTCAGTGGCGCAGCAGGTTAGACCGCTGAGTTGCTGAACTTGCTGATCGAACGGTTGGTGGTTTGAATCCGGGGAGTGGGGTGAGCTCCCATAGTTAGCTCTAGCTTCTGCCAACCTTGCAGTTCGAAAACATGCAAATGTGAGTAGATCAATAGATACTGCTCTGGCGGGAAGGTAATGGCGCTTCATGCACCACGCCGGCCACATAACCTAGGAGATGTCTCCGGACAACACCGGCTCTTTGGCTTAGAAATGGAGATGAGCATCAACCTCCAGAGTCGGACATGACTGGACTTAATGTTAGGGGAATGCCTTTATCTATGCAAAAATAGGACCAATTGAGCAATTAACAAATCATTCAAAGGAAGATATACTGTGAGTTCTGTTCTTGACTTAAGTGTAAAATATAAAGAGTTCGTTGTTTCTTAAAGAGTTCTAGTATTGTTCAGTACTTTTATATTTAACCTAATGGAATTTAGGGCCTTACTCAGAGATGAGCATCATCCCCCAGAGTTGGACACGAGTAGACTTAATGTCAGTGAAAACTTTTACCTTTACCTTAATTACATAGTTTTAAGGCAATTAGGTGGTAACTCAATCAGATTACAGACAAAGCCCAAGAATAACTGAATACACAAATGCCTGTGTTCAAGAAGTGTGGAATTATTTGTACCTGCCTAAAATTTCTGATCGGAACCGTCTAGTTTTCTTTAAGGAATGCAAGTGTATATATGATAATGTTGTCAATCATTCATTATGAGAAAGGGACTTTGTATAGTGTTCTTGCCCATTTATTTTTCAGAGAGTGCATTTTCAAAAACTACAGTGTGCGTGCTTATAGTTTTATTTTCACTAAACGATACGTTCAATAAACTTCCTATTGCAGGGAAGAACTTAGGCGATGGTTTATTCAACAAGAAATGGATCTCTTCCGCTACAGATTCACTCAGCTGTCAGACGAATTGGCTAAAAAGTTCCTTGCATATGTTAATTTGGCATATGATCCTGTAAGTACGTGAGCTTTGAATGGTTTTTCAGTATTTTGTTCATTTCAGAACTTAATAAAAAAGTGTGCAAAGCAGCATAAAAATGCTTGATGCTGATACCATATTCTTACCTGTTACTTTAAAAACTGTTTCTCAGAGTTTTCTGTCTCATAGCATGGGTTGTAGCACTTGTCACGAGAAATCAATGTTGGTGTTGCCCTGTGGCAATCCTAGCAAGAGTAGCTTCAGCGTGGTAGTTCTCAGTATAAAAGCCAGCACATCTCACTAGGTGGTGCAATATAACCTGCAGCTGGCATCTGATTAGTCAGTTAAAATGCTATCAGTTAGACTTACAACCACATAGCTTTTCCGTATTGATGCTTGTGATACCATTCCCACAATCATAAATACTACTAAAACCCACTTCTGCTGTTGGATGTCATTCTGCAGTGTCCCTTCACTACAGCCACAGAGCTCCATTGCTCTGGATGGATGACTTGGCTTTAACGTAGTTTTCTAGGGTCAATCTGTAGATGGGAGCATAACTACACCTCTGATGAAAGATCTTAGTTAGCATATTTATGATATATAAATCATTATTTTCTCCTTCATTCAAACACATCAATAGGAAATAGCTTTCTGGGAAGGCTGAGCCAGAGTTTTGTGCACCCAAACAAGTTGAGGTCATAACTGAATTTTAATCCAATGTTTGTTATTGTACACAAGAGCCTTTGCTTGCTCCATTTGACTTTCTGTTTTGTAAAGGAATGGTATAAATGCTAAGTTTAGTCAGGCCTTTGTGCAGTTACTCAGTATTCATTTATCGTGTCAGAAGTGAGTTGAGGATACAGTTAATATGCATTTCAAAACACAAAGTTTAAAAACTTGACATTATACTAAATGTCCTTTGATCAGAAGCTGGCCACTTGGAGTGTATGTGGCAGGGCTCAAATTGCATAGTAATAGGTAGTCTGTGGTTTGTTCTTCACCACACTCGCATGTTGTGGACTCCAATTTGTAGCCCTTTTTCTTAAGGTTAGCTCTGCATCTAATGTTGCCAGAGTGCAGTCTGTTCAGCGCCTTCCAAATCGCCCAGTCTTCTGTGTGCCCAGGAGGGAGTTTCTCATCCGGTCTCGGCCACTAATTGAGGTTCCAGGTTTTTGCCCGTCACTTTTGGACTCTCACTTGCTGAGGTATTCTTGTAAGTATCTCTCTTGATCTTAGAAAGCTGTTTCTTGATTTAAAGTGTTGGCATGCTGGCTGATACCCGAACAGAGGATGGGCCGAATATGTCACTGCCTTGGTCCTTTCGTTATTGGCTGCTACTTCCCGACAGATGTCAGGTGGTGCAATACTAGCTAACAGTATAATTTCTCCAGTGGTGTGGGTCGTAGACATCCTGTGATAATGCCGCATGTCTCATTAAGAGCAACATCCACAGTTTTTATGTAGTGAGATGTATTCCACACTGGGCATGTGTATTCAGCAGCAGAGTAGCAAAGCACAAGGGCAGATGTCTTCACTGTGTCTGCTTGTGATTTCCAGGTTGTGCCAGTCAGCTTTCTTATGATATTATTTCTAACACCCACTTTTTGCTTGATATTCAAGCAGTGCTTAAGCACTTAGACAACATTAAAGTTGTTATTTTTTTTTCTTGTGACTTCATATCCAGTATACTATATTGAACAGTATGAATTTTGTGTACTGAGTTAGAGGGCAGTTTGTGGTGGAATGTCTTTTTCTTGTAACCATGCTGGGAATGGGTTAAGTTGAAGTTTGTGAAGGTCAGTTTGGCTGACAAAGATGTTACAGTGGGGTACAAGTGAATGATGAAGGTTAACAAGATTTGTAGGCAGGTTTCTGCTCAGTTACACTTTTGTTTCCCAAGAAAAGGTCAGTGCTCCAACAGCAGACAATCTGATAAGCATCTCACAGATGGATTCAGTTTAAACCTTTTGACAATGGTATAATACATGGTTTTTTATGTTTCAAAAAATCCTCTGGGATAGAGAAGAAGTTGTACTGTGGCATTCTTCTTTGAACTACAACTATTTGATATAATGTTTTGTATCTAGACATGGTCCTCTGCAATTGGTGATCTCTTTCTATTCATGCCAAGAACTGAGATGCAGGAAACCCTTGTTATTTAAGCAGGAATAAAGACATTGCAGTTATTTTTGGTGATTTCTCCATATCTGGTGTTGGCTTTCATTTTGTCCTAACATAAAACTATTCAGTTTTACTTTTGTAATAGTGCTTGAACTAAGTAAAATCCTGAATAAAATCTGCATAGAAAAACTATATCAAGAGCAGTTCTTGAGAACCCACTCACTATGAACAATTATTAAAATTTGAGGTGTGTGTACCAGGTACGGTACAGTTTTTAGGCTATGGAAGCATCATAATCTTAGCAGAAGTGAGCACTGAGTAGAGCTATAGTACCTAAAAACTTTAAAGGTGTAGGAAATAGCTTATTTGATAATACGTATCTAAGAGGGTCACTCCAAAAGTAATGCACACAGTTTTTTAAAAATTCTAATTTTTATTCTACATCTTTGCTATCTGTTTTGGAAAATGGCATTACTAACCTTTTGGAAAAACACCTTTTGGAGATCATAACTTTTACGAAAACATGACCTTTTAGAGCCAAAAACCCTTTAGTGTAGAATCTTCTCTTGTGGTATACAACCAGATATAATTATGCAAGGCAATGGTTTGATTTGTTAAACTGAATAACCTGTTACCTCTGATCTGTTAGGAAAAGGGAAATTTGCCAGTGCATAAAAGCAGCAGTGCTTCAGAAGTGTTTTTCAGTGTCCAAAATATATATAAGGTAAAGGTAAAGGTTTCCCCTGACATGAAGTCTAGTTGTGTCCGACTCTGGGGGTGGTGCTCATCTCCATTTGTAAGCTGAAGAGCTGGTCCGTAGATACCTACAAGGTCATATGGCCGGCATGACTGCATGGAGTGCCATTACCTTCCCACCGAAGCGGTACCTATTGATCTACTCACATTTGCATCTTTTCGAACTGTTAGGCTGGCAGAAGCTGGGCCTAACAGTGGGAGCTCACCCCACTTCCCAGATTAGAACCACCAACCTTTTGGTCAGCAAGTTCAGCAGCTCAGCAGTTTAACTCGTTGCACCACCAGGGCCCCTTAAATATATTAAAAAATATATAATCTACCATAAAACAACTTGTATTATATCGTGCACTCAAGAGACAAAAATGAAGTAGACTTGGATAGAAATAACATATTCGATTTGCTCACAACCTTCTTGTGTCTAGTATGCACAGGTACAAAACTTATCAGTCCAGTTTCAGATATGTTTGAGATAATTCTCTGTGCCATCTGGCCAGGGCATCTCTCTTAAAACAAAACAGTTATCAACAGTTGCATTGTCAAAAGGAGAGAGAGATAGTATGTGGTCTGCAGCCCCTTTTATAACTTCTCAGGAACCATAAAGGAAGCTGCACACCAGAACATACATATAGGAAACAGTAACAAGAGAAGGCTTGAAGAAGGTTGACATTTCCAACAATATATACAGTACATTGATACATGCTTTAGAAACAAAATGTCACTTTTTTACATAAACCCCATCCTCTTCGTCAGCCTTGCACCACCTTGGAACACAACACAGGTGAGTTTGAAGCTTTTAAAGAGGTTCCATGTATACCTCCAAATTAACGGTGAGCCCTTTAGACAAGATGTCCACTAGCAGGGCTCCTTCTGGATCGCAGAAGACAGTTGTCCTAACTTTTTCTGTGAAGGTTCAGCTTGCAATTTTCATTTTCATGGAAGAATTCACATGAGACCACTCCATTGCTTGTCTCTTTGTCTCTGGTTCAATCATTTACCATCACGATTCTTGAAAGAAATTCATTTCCTTTATTCTCATACCAGGTCAAGGGTTTGCTTCATATGGATTTTTGGGTTTCCTTGTGTGCCTCTGTCCACTTCCTTGAGACTCACCTTGCACTGCAACTTCTTCACATTTTTTAGTATTCTGCACACACTTACTTCCCCATTGCCCAGTTGGAGTGCCCAGTTACACTCCATTGCCTAGTTGGAGTGCCCAGTTACATGCCTCTCGGTCTTAACCACATTGTTCATGTGCTGCACAAGTAGAGGATCCTGAATGTTGACGTGCCATTTTATCAAACAGTGTCTTTTCCGTACACCTTCTTCAGTCTGATATGGATGTTCCCCACTGTCTCATTCTCACAAATCAAGGATCCAGTTGTAGCTTCTGACAGATATCAAGAGGAGCAGCCATCTTGACAATGGGTTGAATTATATTTGAATAGAAACACTTTGTTGTTGTTGTTGTTAGTTTGTATCTTCAAGTTGCTTCCAACCTATGACAACCCCAAAGTGAATCTTTCACAGGGTTTTCTTGGAAATATTTGTTCAGAAGAGGTTTGTCGTTGCCTTCTTCTGAGGGTGAGAGAGTGCGACCTGCTCAGGGTGACCCATTGGGTTTCATGGTTGAGTGGAGATTCAAACCTTGGTCTCTAGAATCGTAGTCCATCATTCAAACCACTACATCACATGTGGCAAGTATAGCATTTTAGGGGAGGGGGGGAGGGAGTGCAAACATATCAGCTGATTTTTGCCAGAGTATTCTTTGTCCTGGCCAATGTTTCTTTTTTAACAAATCATGATGCAGTAAAGCAGGATATGTCCAATCTCATTCAGAGGAAGCTGAAGTTTGTTCCTTTATTAGGATTCTGGAACAAATACTATATTTTTGTATGGAACTGTAAGAACAACCATGATCACAAAAGAGCTCATAGCTTACACAATACATTAAAATAGTTATCTGAGGATTGAAATGTATGTCCTTTGCATGTGCTTGTAGCTTTCATTGAAAAAAAAGCATAGATGCTGTACATAACAATTTTACCACTCATTGTAGGTACAGTATGATAAAACGTTACAGTGAACTGAGTTGACGACAGGATGGTGTGTCAGAGCTTTACTGACAACTGAATGTGTACATGAATTATTCCCAAATA